CCCAAAGATACCAGCACCCAAAAATCTCCATGTACCCCCAAAAGGCATTGCGGCCGGCGAACACTGACGCGTAAACCGGAAGGATTACCAGTCACTTAGGTATACACCTAAAAATGAGGTGTTGTCCTTTGTTGGGAAGGTAAGTCCTATTTCCATTACGGAGTCTTATTTCTTTCCCGAAGCAAAGACCACCAAAATGGGAGGAGAGAAAAAAATTTTCCCCTTGGACACTGCCTGTCATTGCCCCAAACAGAATAGGGAAAACAGAAAAAAGTTGGGGGCGACGATCAAATCGAAATAATCGCCCACGGAGAACTCCGCGCTAGTCATAGGGCAATGCATGCGACATGAAGCTGATAATAGCCAGCTTATCAATTAAACGAAGCCCGAGCTCGTGGCGCTAGACGGATTCTGGAATAGCGCGGACCCACTCCTAGAGACAGGGCACAGGTTCGGGAGGAAGAAGAAGGGGGTACCGTATCAGAATTGACAAGGCCATGCGTGGGCGAAGTCCGCGTTTATGGACCTGGGTGCCGTCGACATCCGGCACCGAGTTGACGACAACGAAGGTGCGCTCCGGTTTAAGTCGGAGAAACCAATTGGCTGTATACAGACTTGCAGAAATGCTATTGGTGCCTATCTCTCAAAAGAACTGGTGTCTTTCCACTCCGACTCCTAGATATATTCAGACGAAGAGTTGATTTGGCGAATTTTGCCCTTCTTCAAGGCAGCTGCAACCAAAGGCTGTAGAAAGCAACAAGGGTTGAATTTTGAAAATGTGGTGTTGATGCTTGACTGTCACTGTGAACGGAAAGAAAGAGGAAATTAAGCTTGCGCGGAATCCACGCCGCCATAATTGGAAAGGATCGTTTCGCTGGCGAAGAGAATTTTACGAAGAAACAAACTTGCGCCACGCCACTAGGGCAGCCAAACAGACAAATCTAGCTCCGGGGTAAAAAAACAATGATGTGTAAATAAGGCGAAAAAAAAAAGCGCACACAAATATTTGGAAGAAAGCGATAAGGTGGGAAAATAAAAACTCAGAGATACATCCCAGTTCCAGCACTACACCCCTCTTTCGCACTCAAGACCCTCGATGCCGATGCTTGAGTGGCAAACCAAGCTTCTATGCACAAAGCTTTTTCTGGAGGGTGGGTGGGTGGGCCTGGAGGCTCGCCAGATTATCGCCATTCTTGAAGAGTTTGAATCGCCAAAGGGGGAGGGGGGAAGAGTGTGCACCAATGTGAGTGGCTCGTCGCCAGATACTGTAGACTTTTGAGTGTCGCTGCGACCTTATCGGTTCCATCTCCCACCCTCCGCCATGCAGCCGACACTAAAGTTAGAGAGCAGGGCACAGATGGAGCGTCGCATGGGATCTACGCCGTGTGAAGCCAGAATCAGTTCCGCCTCCTCCTTGTCGATGTCTAAATTTGTGATTGTTCCCGCCCGGCGCATCTCCGTGCCGTGAAGGTTAGCCTGGGAACCAACGCTGGCTTCGGATCGTATGTATTAGCGTTCTCCGTCCGGCGGAGATGGAGTCGAATCGCTTATGGTTCATGGCGCGCCAAAGAGAGCGGTCGCCGGTTACGGAGTGGGGTTTGCTGCCAAAAGAAAAGACTTTTTAACAGAGAATGAGACCCGGACTCCATCGGCACCACATCAAACTCAGAATCCATCAGGTTGATTCAGGACACAGTTCAGAGTCACGCTTACAGTGTAACTGGATAGGCGACGCAGCGGCGACGGAACCTGGCCAGGTCGACTGATAGATCGACTGTGCCGCAAGTAATCTAGAAGTTAGATAATGGCGAATAACGCCATCGTTTATGCTTGAATGTAGGGAGGCAACCTTCATGCCGCTCTCATCTTACATAGTCTTCCTGGGAGATGTTCGAGACGTAGGACAGACTTGCTAAATTGTTGACTGATGCTGTATCTTGTACTTTCTTGACACTGTTTGAGGTTTTAGGCGGTGATTGGCATGAACCATAAAAGTGTGAGCCTCGTGGGCAGAAACCTTCGGACTAAACCAAGTAGCTCTTCTTGAGACAACTTTCGGGCGTGGGGCGTGAGAGTCAACCCCGATCTTCAGAAAGAATCCGAGCATGGCCCGGAAAACCTTCGCACGCCCCCAGTACCCGCGGAGGGCCTTGAGCAAAGGGCGACAGAGTCGATGGTGGCCTCGACCACGGATGGGTGCAATTAATAACAGCTGTGAAACAATACTGCAGTCCATTGACGTCCCTCACCAAGCCCGTCACCCTCTTCTCCTGCCTTATCCCTAGTCCCTCATCACTAGCATTGCACATTGGAGCGGGGTTTCGTATGTTGCTCTGCGTAACACCTCATGCGCCTCTCTGGTTCAATTCGCGAAGATGCATCCTCCCAGTCGACTCGGTCGGAGGAATCTCGAGCAGCCGCGTGAGGTGGCCTATCAAGGAGTGATGGCTCGGCCTGCATTGCTCGCGAGGGAGAGCGAAACTTGAGCAGTGCGGAGAGGGGAGGAAGCAATCTCATACTTGGACAATCCCTGCCTGCGGTAGACGCTGTGGGACGAGCGCTACTTCTAGCGTGCAATGCGAGGAGCCTTGGAGGCATGGGACTAAATGGATGATGTGCGGCTATGATCCTCGCTAGCGAGTAGCGTGGTACTAGTAAAAGGCGAAGCTTGGCAGGTTACCGTGGACAGGCGGCTGAGGGTCTTACGAGCTGCTCGTTTTGTTGGAGTTGGGTGAAGCAGGACAGGATAGATCGGGTCTGAGTGGGTTCTATGGCTTTTGCTGGCAATAGAGCCGGTCCTATTCTCTTGTCCTTTTTATTTCCCTCCAAGTAGCTTGGGTTTGGTATTCCCCTTTGGTGGATGCTCGACAAATTTGAGTTGTGTGCCCATCGGAGGTGAATGTAGAGTGGGACAACATACGACTAACGAGAGAGACGGCGCCGTCCACACTCTTCCCACAATCGATGACCTGATTTTCTTCTGTCAGCAGTCGCTTGCGTTCTTTGGAGCTGCTAGAGTTCGAAAATCGAGTAAAAACAGAATGTTTATTATCTTCTTCCGATGCGAAAATTCGGCATTCGGGATACTCGTAGTTCCCGCATATCTACTACTCTCTTGATTTCTCCAGAGTCTTCGATTAGCTGTTGGGGCCGGCAGCCAGGCACCCCGGGTTGGGAATTGCTCAAATGGATCAATGAGATGGACCAAGGATGGGGGCTCCCTCAATTGTTTTTGCTGGGTTGTGTTCCTTGGCTGGGCCCCCTGTGCTTGAGCAGTGCTTGTGGACGCTAACCCCCAAATCTCATCCACTAGCGACACCAACTCCGAACTTGGACGGCCGATGTAGCCGGGGGAGTCCTGTGCTGGGTCGATTGTTTCGCCATGAACGCAAGGGCAGAGCACGAGCAACAGTACCACTCGACATAGGACCAAGATGTTCGAGCGAGTGGACATGGTTTGCAAGTTCGCGCTAGCCGGGTGATAACATGGTTCAAAGTCTTTTGTACATTCGCTCGACAGGTAGCCACTACCTCACCCCCTCTGGCTGCTATCTGCCCACGCCCTGACACCCCCTCCGCCCCCCAAACCCAGATATCGCCCACCAAAATTCGAGCCGCCCCCTCGGCTGCTCCTGCCTGGGTCGCCAACAACACCCCTCCCCTGTTCTCTCACAGAACACCACACCATCCCACCTTGAAGTGACTTTTTTTTTCTCTTTGGTACGGAGTACCGATTACATCACCGCTCACTTTTCCCTCTCCGGCCAAGTGCGAGTCCAGTCGAAGAGCAAAGTCCCAGTGGCAAGGCTTTTATTATCTCCTCCGGCCCTCCACCCACCCTTCGCATTTAGAGGTTGCCTCCCTCCAACACGGCTTCTCATAGAGATCCGAATCTTTTACTTCACTTAATCCCCATCCACGAGTCTATATACGGGGCACGCCCGCCTTCATACGATTGAGCAAAGCTCCAGACGAATCTCGCAAACAAAAGAGAGATATAGCCTTTGGCTTCCCCCTCGACCCACGACCTCCTCTAGACACGGAAGGAGCCTCAATTCTCGATCACTTCCTTCCCCGACCCACGACTAATTTCTCCCCCTCCCCTTTGGTCCCTCATTCCATCTTTCTCCTCGAGAAGTGCATCTCTGTCCGTTGCTGGAATTACGCCGGACAGTATCTATTCTCCTAAGGAATCTTGCTATTTCGCCTCTCCTCGACCTTTGCCGTGTAAGTCGATCACAAAAACACTCGGACACAGCATTTTTCCACCTCCGCAAACCTCCCCCAACCCGCGTCCATTGCGCCCACAACCCTTTCCTCACCATCACACTGGAATCACGCAAACCGCTACAGCCTTGTTTTCGTTTCCCTTCAAATCTCTTTACCCACGAGGTCGCGAATCCAACCATGGTGTGAACATTGGTGGCCGGCCAATTCTGTCACGTCAACAAGCATACTAAGATAAACTGCCAGTGTAGCTCCTGATCCTGATGCAGTCAGACTGCTAGTTTCGCCAACGACACATTCATATTCCATTGTCTCTTCGATTGAGCTCTAAAATCTTCCCGAAGATCTCCTTCTCGACGCCTCTCTTCTGGTCCCCTAGTACAACCAAAACGACATTTTCTCCCAATCACCAGGCACCTGGTCTTGGGAATGCCTTACACTCCGCCTTCCAAGTCGGCTGTTTCTTCTCCGCCCGGGTCGCCAAGTGCTACTCGCAGACACTCCGAACCCACGATCGGCGGTGCCCTTCCCCGGTCCTCCTCATACCTCACACGGCACCGGAGAACGCCTTCTGCGGTGAATCTATCTGGCCAGGTCAATGGGAGTGGTAACACGCCCACACCTCCGGGGACCTCGGATGACTTGAAGTCAATGGCTGGTGTTGGAAGCATTCGACAATCGCCGCCGCCTATCACAGGACCCCGAGGCATGCCTTCCGGGGCTGTTATCTCTCCCCCGATTCACTCTCCGGTAGCGACGATGAGGGGCTCGAGATGCGCGGGAGGAAACTCCCAAACCTCAAGGCCCTCAAAGACGCCGTCAACAGCATCCCTCTCCGCAGGGAAAGCTCGCCCGTGAACCAACGGGCGCCCGTTGTGAAAGTTGTGGAGCAGCTTCTTTCGCAGCCGGTTTCGTTTGTCGAAGGTATGCACCACAGCTATAGTACCGGTGCTCTTGATGCCCTTGGCTCGCGGAGGTCCTCGCAAGCGGTGCCAGGCATAGAGTGCAGTGCTATTCACGTCAGTGGCTCGTTAACACCCTCTGAAGAGGATTCAGAAGACGAGAAGCGCACCAAACCCCCGATGGTGCGCAAGAAGTCGGGCGAACTAGTTCGCCCTGCTCTCCGCCTTTCCTCGCATCGTCGACCTTCTAGCATGCCCGGCACTCCCACCTTTTCCAAGGCTGTTCACTTCGATTCTCACCTCGAGCACGTCCGCCACTTCCTACAAGTAGATCGTCCTCTTGCCGTCAGTGCCGGGTCGAGCCCGGTCGATCATCTCGAGAGTGACTCTGAATACCCCTTTCCTCGTCCGACGAGGAACGGACTCGCCAAATACGAACCCCCTTACGAATGGGAGATCATCACGTCCAACTTCCCTGCGGACGACCTAGCGCGAAATGCTCTACCAGCCCGTGTTGAGCGACTTTGGCTCTCCAAAGATTGCCGCTCGCTCCACGGCTCCGTTGTCGTAGCCAACCTCGCATTCCACAAGAGTCTAACCTGCCGGTTTACTCTCGATTACTGGAAGACGACGTCCGAAGTCGCTGCCGAATACGCCAGCCAGATTCACTCGACCGGCCACGACCGATGGTCCTTCAGCATCCGTTTGTCGGATATGGCTAACCTCGAGACCAAGACCCTCTACCTCTGTGTCAGGTACAATGTCAACGGGCAAGAGTATTGGGACAACAATGATGGTGCCAACTTCCAGGTAGACTTCCACAAGAAGTATCTTCCCCAAAACGGCAAGGGTGGCTTCCAGGGCGCTGGCTCCCGGTCGACCAGCGACTTGCCGCGCAGCAGCCGCCGTTCGAACCCCAACACCAATCCTCGACCCAAGTCGATGCCTGTTGGGCTCTCGAGCCACTTGATCGATCAGGCGAGACGAACCCTCGATAAGTCGAGGGATGAGTTTCTTGATGACAATGGCCCAATCCGCTTGAAGAGGTCAACCTCTGATTCTAGGGATGCTACCTCTAGCTCGCGCACCAGCAACGCGTTTGGACAGCGTTATGATTTTAACGCGTCCTTGAATGAGGCAAAACAATCAGCCCGGTCCAAGGAATCCAAGAAGATCCCTACACCCACGCCGACGGTCTCAACTGGTCCAGCGAGGTCCCTTGCCGCCCCTGTGGAGAACCAGGATTCCCCGAAGAAGAAAGATTACACCTATGATGAGATTGTCAACAGGTTTTGCTTTGTACGTACACCCCCAAGCGGACGCATAGCCACGTCGAGTTCGAGTTCAGCCTGGTCATCTTAAATTTCTTTTTGCGACTCACTCTCCCACTCTCACTCTCTTTCTCTCTCGAATACAGTCTCCCCCAAAATCAGAAAGGAAGAAAAAAGACAGGAAACTAACATTGCTGCTTCTATTTGCAACAGTATGGCTCCAAACAAGGTCAAACAACGGGCCAAGCTCAAACAGCCCAGCCCTCTGTCAAGCCACCCCCGCCTAGCGGCGGCCTGGTGACGGTGACTGAGATCGCCACCAGGAGCTACCAACTTGCTCCTACTACCAAGGATGCCTCGGACAGCTCACATCGAGCCCCTTCTAATGGGCCCAATTTCACTCTATCGTCGTCGCCGCGTCCCGACTTACGAGGAAACGACGGTAGTGCTCAACCATCTCTTCGGGCTGGTTCTCCCATGTCTCACTTTTCACCCAGAGCCGGTACGTCCCCGGCCAGTCTGGCACACCACACACAGCGCCACAGTCGATTCCCATTCAGTGCCGAGACACATGCCGCCACAGCCATCCACGGCTAGGATCAGAACAGTAGGCTGATAATCTCGAAGCACGGGTCACACCTAAATCACAGGACATATCCTCAATACACAGAGCGGAAATCCAACCTCGTTGAAATCCGCAGCCAGGTTTCTACTTTGGTTCGCTTGTACTTTTACACCACACCACGACACACACCCACCCGCCAGTCCACCAGCACTTGGGCCCGGGTCGGGTGCTCCTACTGGGCCAACCACCCTTTCCATCATTCAACTTGTTTACCAAAAGCTGTTGCGTTTGGCGTTTGGCTAGGCACGCATCATTCCATGGTTGCGTCGTTTTACGCAATCGGTCGCGGAGAGGGGAGCTGGGCCTATCCTCCTCTCGCATTGTTCTTAGCATACTTCTGGAGTTTTCACCGGGGACGGGGTTCTTTTTTTCTTTTTCCCTTTTCACTCTCACTTTTCTTTTACTCTTGCCTTTCCTTATCTCGGCCTATGCACTTTTACCGTCCGGTTCACTTCTCAATCAGTCCAACCGCATCGCAGAAGCAGGGCTGATGACATGATGACGACGCGCACCTGGATAAATATGGCATCAATGGGGAGTTTTGTTTAACTTTTCTATCTTTTTTCCCCTTTCGCCGGACTGTCCTAATCAAAATGCGCTTGCTTTTTTGTTTAATCTTTCGAGTTTTGCTCTTTTACGGTTATCAAGTTGCCTGCTGTCGAATCGCTTTGTGTTGAGCAGGAGCTGAGGAGTTTGACATGGTGGATCGGTCTTTTTACTTTACTCGCTATCACTCAGTGCTGTACAGTCTTTACTGCCTTGGTCTTGTTCAGGTTTACAACCCTCTTGGGGTTGCAGTTTGTTTTTGCCTTTTCTCCTATCCCGATTTGGGCTTACACGGGAGTTGCAAACATGATACACAAAAATTCATTCCGAGTATACGATTAAGTGGTATGATTAGTTGCTTTGCTCGGAAGGAGAGAAAACTTCCTGGAATCCTGATATGAATCGAAACTACGTTGGCGTTCAAATCTTGAATACATAGCTCCTCCTTCTCCCGTGACCTACTCTAAGCCTGGCTCGAAAGGCCCTGCCCAGTTGGGTGTGAAGTGATGTCAACCCGAACCCCTCTACGCTATGGGGAAAGGGGGCCGATGCGATGACGATCCGGCGATACTACGATGCCGAACAAAAGTGACGCATTGGGAATTGGGGGACGGCCACGATACAATCTGGGATCAGGGTTCCCCGGCTGATTGCCTCTCTTCGAGGTTACGTAGTGGCGCGCCAGCGGCCACCTCTCAAAAGACAGCCTGAGTATTACGAGCATTGCCAGAGGTTACGAATAAAGGTACTACTATTTTTCTAGGTGACGGATTGAACTGCATGCACGATGGCCTTGGACCACAGGCTTGCCCGTGGAGCATTTTACTCCAGGCTGGGTAGCCAATAACACGGCTCGATGTGAGCCCGGGGGTGTTCGTGAAGACTCGTCACTTGCTTTTGCGGGCGAGTGGGCACACCCGTCCCGGAACCGGATTAGAACTTGGACACGTATGTGAAGATGTAAGTGGAGGGACCCTTGCAGGCACTACCGGCGGGCGCTGCCAGGCAAGGCGGAAGCAGGTCGGTGGGAAGAAGAGTGAACAATAAATCAAAATATTAAACTTGGAAATCCCTAGTTATTGGTATCCTTTAGAGTGTTATTTCGTGTTCGTGAGTTTCTTGGTTTGTGATGAATGGGTACGCGAATGAAAGCAATTGAGGTTCTTCAATTCGCTGTTGTCGTGGTGAGGGAGGAGTGATGTCACGGCTGGGCCAGGTTTCCGCCGTGGCTCAGTACTATGCTGTATTCTCGAGACGTTGCGTCTAGAAAGAGCGAGGCCAGTTCGGGTCCTTGCTTTTGAATGGCTGGCAAAGGCTTGCACACTATCGAGCGAATCAGGGGTCACGATTGGGTTCATGGGGGTTCATGGCGAACATTGACTCGCTGGGAGAAAAAGGCAAGCCAAAGCAAACTTGTCCATGGAATTGATGAATTATTGTTCGAGGATAGATAGATTCATCCGTGGATGGATGCACTGCACTGTCTGATAGGCTCACGGAGAACTCGCAAGGCCAAGCATTTTCTAGATCGGAGCAATTGATACATCTCCAACATGAGATCGACTACAGCATGGCCTGGAATGTGTTGCGTGAAAATGGGGTGCTTTTGTGGTGATGGGAGGATCAATCTATCAAGTCGCATTAGCTATCGGAAGTGCGATATGATGAGAAGGCAAAGGATAACGGGGAAGAAGCAAAGGGTTTGGGGATGTAGTGGAGACCGATGATGCGTTGAATTCAATGGATCCATCCATCCATAGATCTATCAATGGTATCCCAATACACCGTGGATGCCTGCGAGGTCTTATCCTCCCGGATCTTAAGATGATACCAGCGCAGGCCAAACTTGAATGCGACCAAGCTCCGACACAACGAGTACGATAGGACTAGTGGTATCGGCAGGCGACTTCTCGCTATCTATACTTGCTCGAGGCCGCTAGGCTCTACTCTAAATAGCGGGGCAGGCGATCTCGGAAGGAGTGCAATCTCCCCCAAGATAAGAAACCCGACCACATCCGGCAAGCCAGCGAAACAGCAAAAGGGCACCCAGCTCTTAGGATGTTTTGGTCCATTTTTTGTATCGTCTACCTCTTATCTTCAGCTACTAGAGGCGGGGAGGGTGTGCAGATGGATGAGGGGGATAGCCTCCGCGAAGGCGGCGCTCGGCGAGCTAATCGTTGTCCGGGGAGCCTGCAGACAGCCGCGCACGCTATTCTCGACTACGATACGTGCGCTCAGGACGAGGACTTGCACGCTAGGCGCTGCCTTTTTGCCCCCGCAAACGTTGAAGGGCGTGCTTGTCAAGACGAAAGGGCGGATAGCCTTCTCCCCTTCCCCCAGCCTCTCCTCTCCCCCGCTCCTTCTTCTCACTCGGCCCCTTGGGGAAAAGACTAGGGGAGAAGAAGGGCGGGGCTGTTGCCTATCTATGTTGTAGAGAGTCACTCTCCATCTCGGCTGAGCCTAGGTTGACTCGATTCCGAGGCGGAGACCCTGCATAATGGGGGTCGGCTGCCTTGCTTTGCTCCGGGTCTCTTAGATAACAGCCAGCTCTGGCAGCAGCATCTCGCGTTTAACCTAAGATTCCCGTGGGATAAAGCGGGGATGGGGCAGGCAACAACAGCGAAAGGAGGCTCGCGCAGTCTTCCAAAGGAGTGGCTCGCATGCCGGTGGGAGTCACGGTTCTTGTTTTGCCTCCTTTGGTGGGTAGGAGCGGGAAGGAGATGGAGGGAGAGGGAGAGAGAGTGTGAGCAAGATACCAACTGCAATAGGCTGCGGCCCTGGTGAATGCGAGAATAGGATCGTCTTGAAGGGGGGCCGATAGCCCACCTTGCGCCCCCTTGATCTTGATACAATCGAAATGGGTCTATTGAACGGGACATTTGAAGGGGGTAATCACAAGTTAGCAAGCCCATCCGGAGGCTCTCCAGGCAATAGCGCGCAGCACGAGCTTAAATCTGATATTGGCGGCATCCTTGGCCTGCTGGCAGGGATTGGATGACTCGACGGAATTGATGGGGTAATAATAACAAGCAACGGAGATGGCTCATGAAAGAATACTCGTGTCGCATTGTGTGATCGGTTTAGTCAAGACAGTGCGCGCTGGGAAATGAAACAACCACGGCGGGCTTCTCAATATTCTTAGCACTATCGCAATCTGCGTGCGCGGGTTCGGTTCCAGCACGAGCGTGGGTAATAAGCCAGCCAGCGCCTCCACCGCCCCGTCCATCTGCTACAGTCATGGACCAGCACGCTGGCGACGTGAAACTAGGCCTGGCTGTTGTCCTCAAGGACGGATCAGTGGATTTGGGTGGACTAGATGGACCCATCAATGATCGCAATGACCAGTCGCCAGTATAAAGTTTAGTGCGTCAAAGAGAATATTCGAACGTTACGAATTGCCTCCCAGGATGAAATACGATAACGGAGTGGTTCTCTAAGGGGCTGTGAACGAGGAATCGACCAAGGCGCTAAAACGTTCGCTGTAGATTTCGATGATGACTTCGAATAGTATTCCATTTGAATCGATCAATCCACAAGTCTTGGTCACTGAGAAAGTGGCTCGGTTCGTGTTCCTCCCCTAATAATACGCCCCCGCCCCCTGTTATTGGCCTCGGCAGGCAGGGCCTTGTACAAACATTGAAGCAGGGCAAAGCAATAGCCGAGACACTGACGGTTCGAGTTAGCCTTGGAAGGAGTGAGTGAGCAAGGCAAAAAGACGACAATTGGTAGCACCGTGCATGTTGTTGCTTCCCGTACGGCTTTGGGGGCGTGCTTTTCGATTGTGATTGATGACGTCCATGAGTCACGCCTCGCCGAGAGCGTCATTTCAGGCAGTCATTGCAAGTTGCACCAACGCTCGGCAGCACAGGGAGAACCCCGAGGTGTCCGCATCGGGAAAATCGGGGGTCACGATGGGGCTGGTCAATCCAACTGCTCCCCCAAACCGGGTCCCGCCGGCAATCCTGGAGAAGGGGCTAACTCGGCCAGTCACTGCTTTGTTCGTTCCTTTTATGTCTACTTTGTTTGTAAGTCGGCAACACGCCCACGCCCCCTTAAACCATTAGTACTTCTATTTCCAACCCATCCCATCGCCTTGGTCATCCTCTCGCCCCTTTATCAATACCGTCCACCTCCCTCGATTCCCCCAACCTTCCTTCCTGCTTCTCTTCTTTCACTCCACATTCAAACCCACCTCTCCTCCTACTCCCAGCCTTGGCTACGATATCGAGACCCCAGCACCTTAGCTGCACCATCTCACGACAAAGCGTGATCATTCTTGCCCTCCACTCGCCCATTCCCTCACTTTCCACTCCTCCTCCTCCATCCACCATGACTTCTCTTTCCTGCCACATCTTCAAGCTTAGCCAGCACAACGACCGCGATTCCCCTCGGAGGACAAGCAACCGATTCCAACTCCTAGCCGACATGCCCGATAACGACTTGGACGGCGGCGCCGTGGACGCTCCCAAGAAGCAGCGCTCCTCGCGCACCGCCCCCGAAGCCAAGCGCGCAGGAAATACGCCAAGCGGTCCGCGCTAGTAAACCACGAGAACGTGGCCGAGGCCCTTGAACTTGCACACTCTCAGATTCCCCTACCTTCCAGGAACGGCTCTTCCGCCACACACGTCCTCAACAGCCTGGGTGACGAAGACTACTACGAGTCCTGGCAAGAGACCATCGTCGCAAGCTATGACCCCCATCTCGAGGTGATGCTCCCCGGCGACCTCACCCTCGACAACCTCCCACGCCCAGTCCCCGCCTTCACCGTTAGGACGAAGACGAAGTCTACCAAGCGGGAACGGCCCGTGGTAGTAGACGACGATGACTGGGATCTCGTGTCAAATGCGTCCGACGAGTCGTTTTGCATGGTATAAGCGACCCCCATATCTCCCTTGAGATGAACGGTTGGAGCATAATTACGTGTAATGATGGCTTTGTTCTCTTGTATACGCATCATTGTATTTTCTTGGGCACGGACAACTTGGGACCATTTGGATATGGGAAATGACCTTTTGCGGGCGGCTTGTTACTTGATGACGGGTTGCGAGCGTGATTCTTTGGCGCATGTGAATGGTGCTTATCTTTCTTGGCATTGAGGCTTATCAGTCCAATCGTTTTGTTGTATATCACTGTTAGAAGAAAATGCTTCCCTTCGCTTGCATGAGGGAGGAGTCCTTTCTTCCAGCAATTTTTAAACATTTCTTCACTGAACGCAGATGCGGAATATATTTAATGCTCAGGCACTCCTAAAAGAACTCCCTTATTCGACTTTTGGCGGGTTTGTTCGGGCGTCCCGCGACATCCTGACGCCATCTTCCCTGAGACGGGCCCTCCTGTTATCTTGTCCCATGGTCCAAGTCAGCTGAGCGAGGCTGTGAACGCCAGGGGTTCGAACTCAACCCTTTAGCTTTTGATTCGACAGGAGAGGGAGGGAAAATCACGCAGATGAGCGATAGCTAGTTGTAAGACTATGACCTCGTGGCACCGCCTCATGTTTCGTTCGTCATCCCCGGGATTCCTTCAACGCTCTTGCGCTCATGGATCAATCCAAGGTTACCGAATGGAGACTCCTGACGGCCTCAGGTTCAATTTAGTGGGGGATCACCAAACAGTATTTACCGGGGTTTATCCGGCGCCGCTTGACATTGACCCAAGGACCAGCATTTGCAGATCGAGTGTAGGTGCATGCATGCATGCTGACTAGTGCTGGTTTCTTTTTTCTTTTTCTTTTTTTACCAATGGTTCTCTAGAGCGCTTACAAGCTACGGGAAGAGACTATGAACTAAGTAATTGATTTTCGAACTCGTGAAAACAAATCTTCTCCTCCCGTCTACATACCATGAGAACGACCCCCACCCTGTTCTCAAGATGGTTACCGACGCAAATACCACAGCGGGCGACTCTGTTCCTGCGGCGAACCACGCTGCCCATCAAGTTGGCTCGGAGGGACCTGCATCTGCTTCAAACTCTGGCGGCGCTCCTGAGGGGACAGAGCCCCAATACAAGCGGGATACCCGATCGTAGGTTCCTAACCCCGCCCTTCGCCTCCCCCTTCCTAGAGATTTGCTCGTCGCATCTGTTTCCGCATGCCCTGCGTTGCCTTTTGTCCTTTTCGTCGCACAATGCCGACGCAGCTAACTAGCTCCTAGCCGAGCGCAACACCGGAAGCGCAAGCGACCCCGCCGAACGACAACTTTAGCAAGAAGAAGAAGCTCGAGGGGGCAACGCCCCCTTGGGAGCTAAACGACAGGAACCAGATCCCCGCAAACCCAAGAACAACCCGTTCTCCGCTGAGGAGATCGCGGCCGAGGAGCGCCGGCCCAAGAAGAAGGTTGCCGTGCTCTTTGGGTACTCTGGCACGGGCTACCGCGGGCTACAGATCAACAACGAAGAAAAGACGATTGAGGGCGATGTCATGAAGGCTTTCATCGCGGCGGGCGCCATCTCCAAGGCCAACGCGGACGATCCCAAAAGGTCAGCTTGATGCGCTGCGCCAGGACGGACAAGGGCGTGCACGCCGCCGGCAACGTGCTCAGCCTCAAGCTCATTGTCGAGGACGACCACGTCGTGGAGAAGATCAACGAGAACCTCCCGCCCCAGATTCGCGTGTGGGGCATTCAAAGGACGAACAAGGGCTTCAGCTGCTACCAGTCGTGCGATTCGAGGTGGTACGAGTATCTGCTGCCGAGCTATTCGCTGCTCCCGCCGCACCCGGACAGTTATCTGGGCAAGAAGATTGCCGAGTTCGCGCTAGAAAAGGGCACGGTGGAGGAGCTCAGAGAGAAGAATGCCGACGTGGGCGATTACTGGAAGGAGGTGGATGAGACCTGCATCCGGCCGATCCTGGAGAGGCTAGACCCCAGACGAGGGCCACCGTGATGGAGAGGCTCAAGCTGTCCGTCGACGTACCCATTGACGGGGCCCCGGCCGCTGGCGTAGAGCCCGAAACATCGGCTCCCGAGCCTCCCAAGGCGCCGTCCCCGGAATCGGCCGCCGAAGCGGAACAAGGCGCTGCGGGCGATGCCCAAGATAACACGGGTTTCGCGCAGCGCGAGCTGGGCCCCGTCGACTTTGCCCTCCGCGACATCAAGCTCGCCTATGTCGCCGCGAAGCGCCGCTACCGCATCTCCCCGGCTCGCCTCCAGCGTCTGCAATCCGCCCTCGACGCCTACCCCGGCACGCACAACTTCCACAACTACACGGTGCAAAAGTCGTTCAAGGACCCGTCCTCCAAGCGCCTCATCAAGTCCTTTGTCGCCAACCCGGATCCCATCATCATCGGAGAGACGGAGTGGCTTTCCTCAAGGTCCACGGCCAGTCGTTCATGATGCACCAGATCCGCAAGATGGTGGGGCTCGCGACCCTCGTCACGCGGTGCGGCACCAACCCCGCGCTGATCAACGAGACCTACGAGGCCACCCCCATCGCCATCCCCAAGGCCCCCGCCCTCGGCCTGCTGCTCGAGAGGCCCGTGTTTCAGAGCTACAACTCCAAGGCTACGGGCACGCTGGAGAGGGAGCCCATTGACTTTGCCAAGTATGATGACGCTATCGAGCCGTTTAAGCGGGAGCACATTTACACCCGTATCTTTGAGCACGAGGAAAGGGAACACACGTAAGAAACGAATCACCCTTCCAATTGCCCTTTCTCTCTCTCTCTCTCTCTCTCTTTCCTTTCACTCTCACTAACCGTAACCTCTTGCTCGGTTTCTAGTTTCCACGGCTTTTATCAGCAAATCGACAGCTTCCGCAGTGACTTCTTCCTCTGGATCACCCCCGGAGGCATCGCCGCGGCCAAGCTCCGCCAGAGCGCTACCGACGTTGCCGAGACCGAAAAGGCCTTGAACAAGCAGCTCGGACAGGAGGATGAGGATGATGATGTGGCGAACCCCGAGGAGGGCGAGGGCTAGTTGTACTCTTACGGGACGAGACTTGGGACGATGGGCTCAAGGAAGCATTAAAAAGGAGGAGTCCGTATGGGAGGCATGGAATGGATACCAGCTTTGCCTGTTATTCCTCAACGAGTGGAAAGGGAGATGAGATGAAAAAGTGCATACAATGCGGAGAGGCGGACGCTCAAGGAAGAGCATGGTTTATACATGTAGGGATAACAATGCATTCGCGGACAGATTAAGGCATATATATATTCACGATAGACCTCTTCGCTTCCCACCATGCCAAATGCGGTCACGGGAAGACTAGGGCTACATTGTTCTACAAGCCTGGACAATATTGTCAATAAGCTAGATTTACCTGCTCCAGCGGATCAAGATCACACCTACGGAGTCCCAGAGATTCCTGTGACTTAAAAACACGCACGGGTCGCCACGGTATGGAAAGAAAAAGAAAAGTAAACTCCGCGCTCAATCATCTATCTAAACCCTCTGGCGAGTTGATGAAATACATTGAAGAACGAGAGCATGGTTTTGCTCCTCCCTCTCCTCCCAACCATTCATTGTCCCTTTACTTCCGCAAAACCTCTTTCTCTCTCTCTCTCTCTCTCTCTTACATGGACTTGAAACCAAATCTATCAATTTACGCCAACACCCAGACTCTCAAGACACCCACCATGCTAGAGACACAAATGGTGAAGAATAATCGAAAAGGAGATTTTTTAAAAAGAAATCTCTCCCCTAATGGCCCGCCTGATGAGTGGCGGACTGCAGATACCCCAGCAAGAAGCTCCGGTCAGCGGGCGAGATGGGCGTCTGGCTACCCCGTCGCGAATCGGACTCGTGCATGTTGGACGCCGCCGAGGCGGCGAAACCCGCGCCCGAGGCCATCGACCCGGCGCGGTAGTCCATCGAGGGCGCTTGCCAGCGCCGACGCTTTCGGGGGTGGGGATATTGCTGGGCGACAAGCCCTGGGGCTGGCCAAAGAGAGAAAGGAGCTTTTGCTTGTGCTCGGGCGGGGCGTCCTGCTGTTTCTGGAATACGGGGGCGGGGAAGGTGGTCGGCGCCGGCGGGCTCGACAAGCCGGCAGGGACCGCTTTCGCGGGGTCGTAGTAGGCCGAGTACGAAGGGGCGGGGATGGGCTGCTGCGTTTTCGGCGACGGCTGCTCCTGCCGACGCAGGAGCTGCATGAGGGGCTGCGAGGAGCCGCTGCTGGGGACGCGCGGGGCCGCGTGTTCGTGGACGCGGGCGCGAGGGGAATGGTATGGCTTCGAGCCGGGGCTGCCGGGCTGGTCCTGCAGAGATAGGTGGGAGAGGGGATCCGGGGGCTGGCTCCCACGATAGAGCCCGGCTTGCTATTGGAGCCGGAGCCGGAGCCGGAGGCGGGGCGGCCAAAGTTGGCAGACCGAGGCGAGGCGTTTGGATCCGCGCGCTTGAACATGTCGAGAAGCGCCGAGCGGTGCTTTTCGGTGCCTTGGCCTGGAGGCCGGGAAGAAGTGCTGGGGGCGGATTGGTGCGACGAGTACATGGACGCAGGTATCTGCTGCTGCACTGGCGCGGCTTGGTATGGCTGCGCAATGTTATAGCCGTCGGGTGCCCTGGCCATTTCGTTATCGGAACTGGGATACGGCGGTGCGTTGTGGCCATCGGGCACGTGGGCGTGGGCATCGTGCGAAGCGCTGGTCTGCGTTTTGAAAGCGCTGAGTAGAGCTTTGGAGTGATCGGTCAGAGGACCGCCCTGAGGCTTGAGGATCGCCGTCGGGTAGCCGGGGTACTGTGGCTGCTGGGGTGCGCCGTAGTGCTGGCCTTGCCGCATTGGCCCGTTTAATCGGGTATTGGGCGACGGGGTCGTGTAGTTCAGCACACCAGTCTTCTGCACATGGGGAGGGAGGGGCTGCGGATGGACGAGCGGAGGTTGCGGCTGAGGCTGAGGCTGGGGCTGGGGCGGCAGGTAGTTCGGCTGCTGTTCGCCGTATTGTACTGGTGGGTAGCTCCCCGGGTGCGCATTCGCGTATTGATCCGGGGTCCCGCCCCAGTGTGTCGGGGCCTGCTGGTGCAAGCTGAACACCGGGGAGGGTATTCCTGGCTCGCGAGGGGAGGGTGCTGGGCCGGGTGGTGGTGAGGGCTGCGTGGCTGCACCGGATTCATGTTGATGTGGTCAAAGGGCGTGCGCGGGGCCGAGGCCTGGCCGTTTGACGCCGGGGCCTTGGACTGGAGAAGGGCGAGGAGGGCGCCGCCCTTGTCTTGTTCGGGGATGGCTGGCTCGGCGCCCGCTGCAGTCCCTGCGTAGGTGGCTGCATCTTTAGCAGCCTTTGCAGCTCGCGGGTGGCGCCCGCGAGGGCATCGAGGTCGGGTCCGCGATGGGCGTCGTGCGGCTGCGCCCAAGTATCGTCTTCGGTCGCCGTCTCTTCGGGCACGGAATCGGGGATGGTGTAGGCGTCATTGCGAGCCCGGTGGCCGCTCTTTTGCTGCTGGACGATCCACTTCTTCAAGGGGACGAGGAACGGCGCCACCATGTAGAATTTGTTGGCGTTGTTCGCGGCATTTCCCGCGTCGGTGTGGCTTCCGTGGCCCTTCTTCCGAAAGGCGGGGAGGTCCGATAGCTTATACCACTGGATCTTGCTAATCTCCTTCCTGGTCCGAGGCTGGAACTGGGTGTCCATGGGGACGTCCCTGAAGACGTAAAGGCGGATCTGCTGATCGCGCATCGTCACCTCAATAAACTTGGTCTCCTTTTGCGACGCAACCAGACCCGCCTCGCGGATATCGAACCCCGTCTCCTCGTATACCTCGCGGATGGCGCAGTCGAGATCATCCTCGTCCTTGTTGATCTTGCCTCGGGGAAAACTCCAATTGGCGCCCTTTTTCCAGCCCCGTACAAGGAGGACCGAGTCCATCGCCTCGTTTAATAGGATGGCGCCGCGTACCGGGATACGGGTCTTGTACTGCAAAACTCTTCAAAAGCTTGAATGTGAGCGCCGACGGGGAAGGTGGTGAGCAGCGGGCAGTGCTGGAATATCCGTAGGCAAAACGTCCGGAGGGACATGGAAGGCAGCGTCGGGTTTAAGGGGCGGATGAAATCTTCGTAGAACCACTGGGCTTCCTCCACCTGAAAACATATTCTCGGCACGGACGAAAGGTCCTCCTGGGGCAGGTTTATTATGAAGCGGACGCAGAGGTCATCCAACCCTATAGCCAAAAGTTTTTTGTCAGCGCTTGATGAAGTCTAGTAGCAATACAAGTCGCACGGCATTGCCTGCGTCTGGTATCGCGATAAAAGGAAGGGTCTGTCGTACAGTCCTCGAGCTGCATTTGAGCGCCAGACATCTTGGTGTTGTTCAGGACCGCGTCCTGTCCGAGTCGGCGGCGTCAGAGATGGATGCACGTCTCAGTTCGTCTCCAGTGAGGGGGTAAAAGAAGTAGTTGGTGAAGCTTTCAAGAGGATGCGGAAATGAGGTTAGGTTAGGTGCGGGAAGTAGGATCGGGCGCAAATCGGGGGCACGACAGAAGGTTAGGCGGGCGGTCTGGGTCTAGTCGAAGCCAGCGCGGAGACACGTGGTGGGCGGTGGCGGGTAAGAAGAAAAAGCCGGTAAGGTTTGAACAGCTCGGCAGCAACAATAGCAAAGAGAAGTGGATCCGGCTAGAGAACAGAGGGCTATCCGTCAAAACAGAAAAATAACACCAGATCGGAGGAGAGCAGACAAAGGTTCAAAGAGAGCGGAGGTGAGGTTGCGCGCATGCGTGGTCAAAGAGCCTGATGATGATTTCCCCGCCAAACTGGAGCTCACCTTTTCTGACTGGCGATTGAGAATCGGGCACGTACGAAGTACTTGCGCATAACACTCTGGCACTGTGACTGTGGCTTCACAGTGCATATTTCATAATGTATCCATGAATGCACTGTCAATGTGGCTTGTCACGTGTGGCGGTGCGGTTGTGGCGAGTGAGTATGGGTTTTCTTCTGCCAGTGGAGATCGCCTGGTGGCTAGAGACGGAAAACGGAACCGAGCTAGAGACCAGAAGAGGGAGCCCGGTGGCTGAGCTTGATTCCAAAAGCTTGTCCAAGTCCAGGCTAGTCAGCACGTCTGGGAGGGAATTAGAGGTGAGCTAGTGCGACGACAGATCGCTACGTCGCCAATTACATCATTCTACCTCACTCGTGTGCGCATCTCAAGCCTCCCAACGTTTCATTAGCTCTGGCTCTTCGAACAAGCAAGGGTGGGGAGTCCTCCCTCGAGTTCAAATCAAGAGAGATAAATAAAAGACCATGATTCCTCTCCCCTTCGCCCCCAGCTCTTGACATCTTCGTAATCTCTAGCAGCGTTCTCCATTCCATTATTTCGGAGCAGTATTAACCTTTTGCTTCCCTTGGTCCTGCTGTGCTGCTGCCCGTCTCACATTCACGCCCTCCCTCCGCCAGTGACCCCGGTCCTTGTCTCAGCCAACTCCCGACTCCAGCGAATCCTGTTTCGGAAGCCAATCGAGCCCAGCTGGCCACGACAACAACCCACCCATTCTCGCCAGAGCCCAAGCCTCTACTTTTTAACCACATCTTTCCACGGCAGCCTTTGCAAAGAGTTCTCTCCTTTTCAATTGCTAGTCTCGAGCTGTCCTTTTACGCCTAGACTTTCCATTAAAAGGTCGCCATCGGAAAAAGAGGGACAAAAAAGCCGGCACTCTTCATCCCCAAATCATCTCGATTGAGCAAGAAACGTCAAGATGACGAGCCTCGTCGCCAAGTGGGTGAGCAAGAAAATCCTGGCCGAATCTGTGCAAAATCAGTTCGGCACAGAGGTAAGTTTTGAGAGATGGAATCCCCCATCCGTTCGGCATCGGCCCCGCGGGTGGTACACTGCATGTACGCTAACCCATGATCCTTTGACAGGATCCGTACTTTGAGATGGTCCCGGCCACCCGGCTGGATGGCACACCAAATGGAAAATTCAAGAAGCGGAGAAAGGCTTTGCCGCCAGGCATCTCCAAGCACGATGCCAAAGTCCTCACCAAGGTCAAGAGGCGGGCATACCGCCTTGACATGGCGCTATTCAGTTGTTGCGGTGTCCGGTTTGGCTGGTCCAGCGTGATTGGTATCATTCCTGCGTAAGTTTATACCGTACCTGACCTGGGCTATAGTATCGCGAGATTCACATAAATGCTAACGATAAGAGAATAGGATCGGAGACGTTTTCGATGCGTTTCTGGCCATGATGGTCTTGCGCACTTGCATGACCGTAGACGGCGGCATCCCCGCCACCCTCAAGACCAAGATGATGGCCAACATCATTTTCGACTTCGTCATCGGCATCGTCCCGTTTGTCGGCGACGTCATGGACGCCGTGTTCAAGGCCAACAGCCGAAACGCCGCGCTGCTCGAAGCCCACCTTCGCGAGAAGGGCAAGAAGGAACTTCGCAAGAGCGGATTGCCGATTCCGGAAGTCGACCCTAGTCTGCCCGAGGAGTTTGATAGGACTCAGCGCGATGACCTCCCCGAGTACACCGAGAGCCAGCCCGGCCGACACGAGAGGATGACAACCGGCACTCGGCAGGAAGGACGTGCCCGCCCAGCAGCTGCCACTCCTCCCGCCGCTAGAGTTCGCAAGGAAAACAGAAGCTGGTGGACCTACTTTAGCAGGCCTCGGAATACCGACCTGGAGATGGGCCAAGGCGACCAGAGTGCCACGGTGGACCCAAAGGCTCACGGAAACCATACCGAGCGAACGAGGTAGCAAGCCGCCGTATCCAACGATGCATCTATCAACATGTCCTTGAAAGAATTCCAACATGATATCCCCTTTGTTCACGAGATTCCCGGTTCAAAACATTGGTTTTCTTTTTCTTTTCCATCACTTTCTTTTGCAGCAATCTTTGTAATCTCCTTTTTCTCTTAGTTATGACTTATGGCAAATCTAAGGTGGGCTTGGTTGAGGTAACAAAGGTTCAGGGTCGGGTTTGGGTCACGTTCTCTAATGTCGTGTTTTTATTTTCCCCTTATGGTTCTTTTCCCCTTGGACCACACCAGGCAGATCAAGAACGTCTTTTAAAACTATTAGATTAGATATACGGCGTGGGAATAAAAAGATATACCCCTTCCCATTCAGGTTTGGCTCGCACCACTACCTCTTCCTCCCTTCGCTCCCCAACTTCCGTGACGTCCGCTTCCCAATCATCACACGGGATACATTTCAGGGTCAATCCAAACTTCTCTTGGCTTTGAAACAGTTCTTTCTAGAGAGGTGCCAACATAGGTAGTACTCGTCTAGCTTCTACATTTCCCCAGTCGCTGGCTAGTCGACTCATCTTAGCTACATCATCTGCCCCATACAGACACGAGTAGTCCACGAGGAACGATGGATGGACATTAATACACAGAACTGTGGGATGGTAACACTGAAACTGCTGCGAAAGGATCTGGATGCAGAGATGACATCAAACCCGGATTCTGGTGCGGCCAAGTCCAGGTCAGCAAATGTGGGCCAATCAGAGGGAATGCGGTCTCTCAAACGGGCTAGTTACACGCGCGCGCCTCGCCGAACAAAAATTGAAGGGAACATCAATAACTTCAAACCTCCCTTCGAAAGAGAGTCGTAATTCACTGATCCATCATTGAAGCATCATTAATCTCTGAACTCGGAAATCCTAGCAATCCTACTACATGGATTGAAAAATATAAACTCTGTTGAACAACATTGAACAAAGAAAACAGTCGTCATGGACATTACATGCGGGTTTATACTCCCCTGCCGTACTCGGCACCCGCTCTTGTGCGTATATGTAACATACGTCGAAAGCAATAGATAACATTGAAATCCAAACATCCACACCAAACCAAACCAACCTCCCCGGATTGTGCATGTGGCAAAATAATCATTAGCAGTAGCTGTACATATCCTCAAAGTGGTCCGCGCAATACCCCGTCAGCTCCTTTTTACCCTGCTTGCCACAACCCCAAATCTTGCACATGTGCACCTTGCAGAACCGCGCGATGACGCGGTCCTTGCTCACGATGGGAGTCTCGGCAGCGGCGGCGGCTGCGTCCACACCGTCATCCGCCGACGGGTTGCCGCCCGGCTTTCCACGGCAGTTCGTAGCCTTTTGCGGGGCCTTCTTCCTATACACCAAGGTCGCCGCGGCTCGTTTGTGCGTGCACTTTTGGACGCGCACCCGTGGTCCTCGCAGTATCCGCCCCAGGCCCGCGCCGGCCTGACGCAGTCTTCGCTGCGGCACGTGTCCTGCCTGCAGTAGGACGAGCCCGCGATTCGAGCGTTACCGCAGTGGAAGCCGCATTGCTTCTTCGCCGGCTCGTAGTAGCGGACGGGGACGGCAAAGGCGCGGGGATTTGAGGACGGGAGGGCCGTAGTGGTCGCCGCGGCTGTGGCGGTGCGAGGGGCGCGAGGAGCCCGAAGAGGAAGAAGATTTAGTAGAGGAGGATGACGCGTTGGACGGGGACCCCGTCGGGCGGTAGGCTTTGGGGACCTGCCGGGGTGCGGGGGTAGGGGGTGTTGAGGCGAAGCCTGGGGGAGGAGCTCGCGACGCTGGTATCGATGCTGAGGCCCTGGGGGCTGGTTTTCTGGGCGCCGGCCTTTGATTCGGGTGGAGCTGGAAGTCGGGCAGCTGCTGGTAATACGGGAGATGTTGCGGATGTGGGATATGCGGAAAGTGCGGAAAGTGAGGATATTGAGGAAAGTGGGGGAACTGGGGGAAGCGGGACGCCTGGGGAAAGTTCATGGTGTTGGAAACGACGGGGAGCTCTGTGGTCGGCTACTGGTTCTCTTGTTGATGCTTTGCCTTCAAGTGTGCGCCGAAGAGGACGAAGATTACTGAATCCGCAAGAAAGGGTCAAGAGCCAGCTTGACTGCGATGCGAGACGACAAAGGGAAATGACAAAGGAAGAAAAGAAAAGAAAAGAAAAAAAGGAAAAGAAACAATAGTTTAACTCATCAGATGGTTGTCACAATGTCATGAGAACTGGTGATGGATTCAAGGCGGGTATAAATCAACCTTTATACCGGAGTGTGGCCCCTATTGTATCAATCGTTCCTTGCACCTCTGCTCGCCTGGATCCCACCAACTGCCTTATCAAGCGTGTTGGTGTCGAGAACCGGGATATTTTTAGGGGAATAAAGAAATAAATGGAGGCAAAAAACCCGGGGATTTGGGTATTGGTGATGTGCTGAAACGCACAAGGGCCGCAAAGTCGGGCCAACATCACGGGCGAGGCTGCTGCGCCTGGCCAAACTCCCACCCCGTGCCGGGCGGCTAGCGATACCATCTCCACAGAGCGCAAGCGGGATTCGAGCAAGAAGCGTTTGAAAGGCCCACGGTCACATGGCCAGGCGACCGAGTACACCATTGCTGCAAGTTCAAGTCTGGTACTCGTCAATTTGGCGTAGCCGTACTATCAGGTGCAAGCCTTGCACCGGGTTCGTCAATGAAGTACGTCTGCGGGACACGGCGGCGCATTCGACCACATATCGTTTCGAAGGCGGCCAGTATCTGGGCCAGACACGACCAACGGCTTATTCGAAACATTTCGAGGATTCATGGTGAGATGTGATGGGATTTATCAGTGTGTCGATTTTACTTTCACTTTTTTTCTTTTCTTTTCTTTTACTGAGATAGGCGCCACGCCGGCTGGTACATGGTCACGATGGAACGGCGCGGCGCGGCGAGATCCATTAGATTCCTGTTGGAGCTTCTTCGATGTTGGCTGATGGCATGTATGGCTCGAAGTGGGGAGATGGGGCCAGCTCGTGGATGGGATACACACAATGAACAACGATTACCAAAGATGAGAGTGGCGCTGAGAAATCTATTCTAATCCGAGTGGGAAACAAAAAAGGTGGGGGTTAAAAAAAAAAGGTCTCTGCGGATTCTCACTCCAGAGACAAAGTGGGCCACGCTCAGCACGGATTTAGCAGTGATGCCCCCACAAAAGCAAGCTGACGGAACTTTTATTCTTTGTTCCTTGTGCTCGTTCGTGCTTGTGCTTTGTGCCGCCCCGCGGACGTGCAGTGTCACCCCGTACCTCCCAAGCCCTCTCTCGGGTTTGCAGATCTCGTGATGACGCGTGAATGCGGGCGGAAACGGATATACACTAGAGGGCAAGACTGTTCTTTGCTTACTGGGGAAAGAGGGTGGGTTGGGAAAACCACTTTGAAGGTTGAGTCGAAGGAAAGACGCGTCTTGACGCGTCAATGGAAACGGAAATGCATCGGAGCTTTCTTTCGTCAACGCTGCAGTCACCGGTAGGGGCTTGGCCCCAATGCTTGATGAGGGCAGGGGGATAGAATGGCGGGGAAAGGAATAGCTGGAGAGTCGAGAGTGGAGGCATCTCAAGAAGACAGGGTGGTTTGCGGCCAATGGATCGGGCTAGACACGATATATTCCCGGGCTCCGAAAGCGCAAATGACGTTGGGTAATGAAGGGTGCCTCATCCTCTGCCATGGCGTGGCGGTGGTATGGGAAGATCAAGAGATTGATTAGATCTTGACCCATCGCATCATGGACCTGAGGTACCCCATAGCATCCTTCGGTGACCGATCCTAGTCACTTTTAATATATGTACATTTGCGAAACGAAACGGGTTGCCCCCCCCGCGCGCCCTCCTGGAGTACCCCTTTGACAAGGCTGTCCAGTTTTCCGTACTTCCGACCTCACATGTTTCCACTTTAGTACCTGGGCCGACCCATCGCGGCGTTCTTGGGGCGTTCACAGCCTGCATATGCGTGCGTGCATGATACCCGGGGCCGGGTGAGGATGCTCCGCTCATGACTCAACTACTGTCAACAAAATGGCATCGGCGCGCATCGAGTGGAGTTCGTCTCAGGCCAGAAAGAGGGATGAGCTACTACCAGTGGAGCCGGGCAAGCTTCCAGCCGGGGAGGGGAAGCACGATGATGGTGGCATCTTGGGAGAGCTCTTGTGAAAAGCTTGGAAAGTTTCGGCCTAGAGCTTACGACGTGGGTCCTTTGGGCAGGTGCAAGGTACAAATTGATCCATTCCATAGATAACTTCAAGTGCTCAGAATGGACCCATCCGCGGAAGTCCATTAATCAATGTACTCCACAGTAGCAGCTTGCCCTCCCATCTGGGAGGCAAGAGGTAGAGAGACGCGCTCTGGGAACGAGGGGAAGACGCGTGCCATTAAACTGGAACTAGGTGTGTGGCAAGGCCGCAAAATGTCTGAGAACTCCGAGCTTCGGAAGTGCTTTGAAAGGAGCCTGCTGGACTTTTCCTCCCCTTCTTTCCTGTGTGTCCGAGAAATAATAATAATGGCGTATTAATCAATTTGTTTCGTTCCAGGAAGCTAGGCCGATCCAAGCTGCGGCGGTGGCAGCTTTGAATCCCAAGCGAGTCGATACAGTGGATCCATCCTGTTGCTCGTAAATTGTGGACGGAGAGATGGACGGCAATCTTGCCAAAATGGAGCTCAAGCGGGTCGGTTCAATTGAGTGGGTGCAATGGGCGGCGCAGTGGATGGATCAGAAAATACAAAAATTGAGGGACAGCATTTCACAAAGGCCCAGCCTCGAATTGCCCTGGTCTGCCAGCCCAGAAAGAGCCGCTTGGCTTCGGCGAAAACACGAAAACTCGACTGGGATTCGTCAGGAGCTCCACCGAATGGGTGGCAGGGACAGAGGGAATCCGGTATCACTGGAGCAATTGGAACCGCGGGCTCCTTTCTGTGCTCCGTGCTCCGTGTCCCCATCCTTGCTGCCCCTGGAGACTGGATTTGGGAGCTGAGGTACCAGACGCGTCCGGCGTTTGGCGTTTGGTGGGCTGGTGGGCTGGCTGGCTAGCCAACTTCATTCTCGGGCTATTCCTACGAGGCTTGAACGTAAGAACCTGCCCCACTGTGCTCCAAGCAACAAGCCAGAGGTTTCGACGACGGAATTGGAGTTTGTGAGCCATTGATCAATAAGCTTAGATCGTCAAGAGCATGAAATGCATCTATACTGGTAACTGAGCATGCAATTGACCTCTCGTCGAGGTGTTTTGCGAGGGATGCAAGATCGATCCATCATCAGTTGATGGTACGTCAATTGGAACTAGCGCTAGAACCCGGAATGTGGAAGTGCGAGAACGGACTGGCTTGACTGGGTACATGTGAAGCAATGTACCTCGAGTGAACCTTTGAAGAACGTGGGAGCAGGACGTGAAGCACCAGACATCAATTGCGGTGCAACGGAGAGCTCATGCGCGATCAGCTCAATTAAGGGCACATCCCTGTACATGAACGAGGGTATTATGGATGGGTTTGGATGGCCTGGATGGATGTCCCCAGTGGTTCCCCACCCTTCAATGTTCCTAACCCCCTTCTCCTTGGCCACCCCTGCCATTACACCCACCACCCACTTAACGCCTTTTTTTCGCGCCAAAACGCGTCTTTTCTGCTCCAGTTTTTTCGCCACCCACATTACTCAATACACGTCCACGCCTGTGCACTACGTCCTGCACGTCCCACGTTGCTCTTCACGTCTTTCGTGTTTTAGTATTTAACAGCTCAAACCTGCCTCCCCCAATCCCAAGCTACCATTTTCCTCATCCCCATTCTCAACCCCAAGCTCAGCTTTGTTGGACAATACCAAGAAGAAACAGAAAAAGGCACATCTTCATCTTTGAAGGTTTCTTTAGTCTCGTTGCCTTGACATCTCTCTTTGCCTCTCTTTGCTCCTTCATCTTCTACATCATCCTCCCCTCATCCATCGCAATGGCCGACATCACCCCTCCAAGCAGGTACGTCGCGTCGCGTCATCTACGCGTCTCGCGCACAAAGAGCTAACTCTTACACTTTTTCTTCCACATAGGCTGCCTCTGCTATCGAGTCCTTCAAGATGGAGTCCCCTGTCAAGAAGCTCGACTTCAACGTCGCTGATAAGGAGAACAACCCCGACGTCGCTGCCGTCGAGCAGATCAAGCCCGTCGTCGCCGAGGTCAAGAAGGTTCAGGAGTCCGCTGCCACTTCCGGCCTCAGGCCCGAGGAGGCCGACGAGCCCCTCCTCCAGGAGAACCCTCAGCGATTCGTCCTTTTCCCCATCAAGTACCACGAGGTAAGCCGCTGCCCCATCCGTCTATCTTGTTAGCTACACTCTCTGCTGGACCCTGATTCTAATGAACTCTCTCAATCTATAGATCTGGCAAATGTACAAGAAGGCCGAGGCCTCTTTCTGGACCGCCGAGGAGATTGATCTCTCCAAGGATCTCCACGACTGGAACAACAAGCTCAACGATGACGAGCAGTACTTCATCTCCCACATTCTCGCCTTCTTTGCCGCCTCCGACGGCATTGTAAACGAGAACCTCGTTGAGCGTTTCAGCGCCGAGGTCCAGATCCCCGAGGCCCGCTGCTTCTACGGCTTCCAGATCATGGTGGAGAACATCCACTCCGAGACCTACTCGCTCCTCATCGACACCTACGTCAGGGAGCCCGCCCAGAGGACCCACCTCTTCAATGCCATTGATACCAGTACGTTACATCGTCCATGAAGCTGTTTGTCCTCTAGTCAAGTGCCTTGCCGCTAACCTTTTTCCCTCTTTTCTAGTTCCCTGCATCCGCAAGAAGGCCGACTGGGCTCTCCGCTGGATCTCGGATCGCGATGCTTCCTTTGGCCAGCGTCTCATTGCCTTTGCTGCCGTCGAGGGCATCTTCTTCAGCGGTGCTTTTGCCTCCATCTTTTGGCTCAAGAAGCGTGGTCTCATGCCCGGCCTCACCTTCTCCAACGAGCTTATCTCTCGTGACGAGGGTCTTCACACCGACTTTGCCTGCCTTCTCTTGTCTCATCTCAAGCACCGCCCCAGCAAGGAGCTCGTCGAGCACATCATTACTGATGCCGTCACCATTGAGAAGGAGTTCCTCACCGAGGCCCTTCCTTGTGCCCTCCTTGGCATGAACTCGGCGTTGATGAAGCAGTACATTGAGTTCGTCGCCGACAGGCTCTTGGTTGCTCTCGGTAACGAGAAGGTCTACAAGTCGACCAACCCCTTTGACTTCATGGAGAACATCTCCCTCGGTGGCAAGACCAACTTCTTCGAGAAGCGTGTCGGTGACTACCAGAAGGCCGGTGTCATGGCCAGCACCAAGAAGAACGACCCAGATGCGGCTCAGAGCGGCGCCGACGACGCCTTTGCCTTTGATGAGGACTTTTAAATCCTCCCCGTCTCCACAGTCAATATTGATCAGTAGACTGTTCTTGGTCAGGATCCCAGCCCTTGCACATATACCACGAACCCGCCCCACATCGAGTTCGAGTGCAACTGCAACTTCCTTAGGCTCGGGGATTCACGGCACCCCCTTATATTTTTCCTTTGTTTAGGTTTTGGGTTATTTATTTTTTAAAGATGTGTGTACTCATCAGTACTACTACCAGGGCTATTCGGCGTTCTACAGGGTGCACATAGCACGGGCTTGTCTTTTTTCTCTCCTTTAGTCTTATTTCTCTGTGTTTTGTCATGAACGAAGGATGGGAGGTGGCATTTTGAATTGGGAATGGCTGTCGTTTATCACGATGGTTTGGGTTTACGGTGATATCCACGACGAAGGAAATGTACGCTACGGTTTAGTGAAAAAAATAATTCACCCTTGTTCATAAGTTCATCTTTTTCGCCTTTTTCTCTATGCTCGTTTCTCGTTTCCTACCCGTGATGACGCTTCCCTGCTGGCGTATCCCGAACCACCCGGAGCTCGGGTCGCTTTCTGTACGATTCCCAGAGCGTCGAGGTAACTATCAAGGTAAGTGATGCCCAACATCATCGTCAAACACGGCTCTGCGCCATTAGTCCACGCATCGGTTTCAAAGCGAATGACCACCTAGCCCCAACTCTTGACACAATTTCTTTTGGTTTTTAGAATGGTTAGGTATGCAAGAAGAAAAAAGAAGAAGACGAACAGGGTCCAATCCCCCAAACTCTACCCAACGCCCCACTCATTTCTTGCCCTTCTTCTTCTTCTTGCCACCGCCGCCCCTCCCTGTCCTTGGCCCTGGCCCTGAGGCTGACCCTGCGGTCCTCCCTTGGCCGCGGCAGCGCGCCCTCGGCGGCTGGCTTCTCGGACTCGTCCGCCGCGGTAGCACCGGTGCCGAGCACGTCGTCCCGGGCACCCTGGAGGCCGGCCATGCCCTTGCTGAGCTTCCCGAGAACCTGGATGAGGCGGTTGACTTCGGCGGCCTTGGTAGTCTTGTACTTGAGGACGACGCCGCTGACGGGGTCAAAGGTCTTGAGGGTGAGGTTGGCGCGGGGGCGCGCGGGGTGGCATCGGCGGAAGCGGAAGCGGAAGCGGCGGGGGCGGCAGGGGCGGGGGTGTCTTGGTCGGATTTTATGCGTGGGCGTTTTATGGAGTATTTTGTGGTTATGCGGGTCTGTTTTGGAGGTCCCCGGGGAGGAAGTTAGCAGCTTGCTTCACGCCACGCGTTGAGGCAGGTAGGAGAGGAAGGACGAGGGTTGGGATTGGGATTGGGGTTTGTTCTGGCATACGGTGGTGGGGCGAGCCTCAATGAGGAGGATGGACTGGTCGAACCATTCTTGCGAGGTCGCGAGGGGCTTTATTTTCGGCATTGTGGCGAGGAGGGGAGGTTGATCGAGGGGCTCCCGTGGGGAGGCGGGGGAGGTGGAGAGGGGTAGAGAGCGAGAGAGGACCAGGCGCTGCCCCTTTGAGACTGTTGGCTCCCTCGTTGCTGTCTGCTCTTTCTCGCTTTCTCTGTCTTGGGGAGGTAACTCGCTCGATGTGTGTGCGTGTGAGAGTGGGCGGTGGTGTCGTTGAGCCCCCTCTAGTAGGTGGGGGTGGGGGCGTCGTTTCGATGAACCTGCTCAAAGCGCAGCGTATGGGGCGAGGGAACTGGAAATCCGTACGTGATCTCGAGGGATCGTAGGAAACGGAGTCGTAAAGGGGTGGGACGTCCTATAGGCAAGGCTGTCGTCGGATGTTGGGAGAAAGGAACCTTGGCCGGGCTTTTGGCGTAGGAGATGGAGGGGTTTTGCGGGGCGGCCTTGCCTCGCTGTGTGGCTGTTTTTTTGCTTCTGGCGGCGGCGGGCAGGTGGTTTCTGGTGGGTGGGTTGAGACGGTTCTTTGTGGTTGGTGGGGGTGGGCGCAAATTGTGGGGCTGCACCGGCTTCGCTGCAGAGCCGCACAACGGCAGCACGAGACCAACAAAGGGAGCCCGATGACGAGGGCCTTGTCACGATATATACACATGGCCCAGAAGAATAAACTTGGTGGGCTAGGCTATTCTTCTTCAACGGTTCATATTGTGAGATGGGGGAGATTGGAAAGCTATATGCGCTCCCAGGCTTTGATTTCCGTCAACCTCTACGAGGCATGGCGATAGGTCCGGGTTAGAGGTTGATCGCGCGTCATGGTAAGCGCTTGCTCGAGGCTCACACAGAGTTCCCTTCTAAGCCGAAAATTCTTCCCAATGTGAAGAGATCTTAATCCTATTTTAGTGGTATAAACTCCCAACGCCAGTTCATGTCCCTCTACCGGGGTATATGATACACACTGATACTAAAATCCCAACAATGCAAGCATGCGCTTTTTCATTTCCTTTGCACCTCTTTTTCTCAATATTTTTGCCTCTTTTCCCCTTGGTTGTTGTGCCCGTTTGCAAAGGAGTCACTTGACCCAAACCTCCTCTAGCCTAGGCCCCCAAGGGAAGGAGCTCCCTCAAGCGTTTGGGTCAGGGACCCAAAAGATGACATCTTCGTCTGCGGTCGCAAAGTGGTTATACCTCGGGTTGAACGCGATAACCGACGCTTCTCGCTTGTCTTCCAGCATAAATGTGGGCTCCAGGACCTTGTTCTCGCCCGCTTGCTTCGTGTCCCAGCCGAGGACACCCTTCTTCGACCCGCTCACCACGTATCGCCCATCCGGACTGAAGCAGCAGTCCCCGCTGCTCTCCACCGTTGCGCCACCAGAGCCACCCGAGGACCCGTTAGTCGCCGCGAGGTCGCCGGGCGCTAGGCGAGACGTGCCGCCCTCCGGCTTGCGCAGGTAAGCCTTGAGGCTGCCATCAAAGGCGTCGAGCAAAAGTGGCTGGGACCCTTGGTGCCGAGGAGCAGGGATTTCCCGTCGTTGGAGAACTCGAGCTTGGTCCACCCCTTAAGGAGCCACTGTCTGTCGTAGTCCTTGCACTGTTCCACGACGTCGAACACGGAGAAGGGAGCCTTGTCAAAGTTCTTGCAGTCGTATAGCAGAACGCTACCGCTGGTGGGGGACGCTACGGCAAAGATGTTGCCCGAAGGGTCGTAGGCGGCGAGATAGGGCGTGTTGAGGAAGAGCTGGCCGACCCACTGCTTGGTGGAAATGTTCCACAGCCGAACCGTATTGTCTTGGCTGCACGAGATGAAGTTATCATGGCCCGGGTGCATCGAGAGGCAGGTGACGCGGCCTTCGTGGCCTTCGAAATATCGGATGAAGGAGTTGTCGTGGGTGGCGAGGTATCGGATAGCATCTTTTGGCGCATATGGTTAGAGAATAGGAACCTTTCATGTCTCTCTTCTCTTGCTCACACGGCAGGGTCTTCCCAAGCCGACCCCAGGAGGCGGGTAAAGGGAAAGAAGGGTAGGAGAGGTCTGGGGAACGTACCGTTTTGCTTGGTGCTGGCGTAGATGATGCTCGAGCTCGTGTGCGTAAACTTGGCGAGCTTCACTCCGTATTTTTGCTCAGCAGTGTCTTGTTGTGCACTCCGTCCCTGACGTTATAGATTTGTATCGTCTCGTCGCTCTCCGCGGTCATGAGAAGCTCGCCCGGATCGTCAAAGTCGAGTGAGAGTACGCGGGGTCGGGGCTGTCCGTCTTTGACATCTTCGCGGTGGAAGAGCTGTTTGTAGGGAAGAAGAAGAAAGCGGGGAGACTGTCAGCTTGCGCCACCCTTTGTTTCTAAAACCTCCAGCCCCTCCCTCTCTTCCTGAAAGGAAGCTTCGCTATCTTACCTTGGTCGGCCTGAATGTGCCGAGTACTTCGCTCAATTGCGACGTAGGGGGCCGCCGGGTCCTCGGCCTGGGTTGCTGCCGTTGGGGGTCGAGGAACCAGGAAGGTCGAGGTCCATTGGCGTGGACGACATGGTGGGCGGGATCTGCGAGAGAACAGCTTCTCACAACCGGCGCGGAGAGAAAGGAAAGAAGGCAAAGAAAAAAGACAAAGAAGTGAAAGACGGAATTGCTCAAAGCTCGTAGGTTGTGTGATGGGCAGAGAGGTGGGTGGGTTTACGACGTCGCCGGCAGCGTTTTGGGGAAAGGGGACGCGCGCGCGCGACGGGTTGTTCCCTTTTGGAGAGCTGCCCCTGTGACGTTTGCTTGGTGGGCAGTGGCTCACGACTAAACTATGCTATCAATTGATGTTGCTTCCGATTCGAGCTGCTAATTCGGTCCAGTCGAGAGACAAACAAGGCTCAAGTGCTCCAACCTCAAAATCCAAGGTGGGGTGGAAAAAGGCCTTCTTTGCTGAACAGTGGGTCTGCTCTGCTTCGAATGCCAGGCGCACCTTCAAAGCTTGAGCCAGCGGATCGGCCTTTGTCTCGCTTGACATGGGCCACCACGGCGACGGCGGCTTCGGCTCTGTCCAGCCACGCCAACAAAATTCCACCAGCCGAAAGCGGCCGCACTGTTTCAAACCCGCCGCTCACTGTCAGCACGTCGTGCCTGGACACTGTGGATGGGGCCCGCCGCTCAAGCTAATTGAAATAACCGCCCCACGATTTGCCCGCCATCAAATTGATCGCTGTAGCTGGGTTCCCCCAAAAAATGACTGTACCCGAACACCCTGAGCGATTTCGCGATAAGCCAGCTCAAGCAAATCTGCAGCTCATTTGATTCGACAGCAAGCCAGCAAAGTCCCGCCAAAAGGAAAAACTTGGGGTGAGACCCACACCCCTTCGCTGCCACTTCGGAATTTGGGGGAGAGGGGACCTGCACTAACCCCGGTTTACCGTTTCCGATGGCGGTCAAGACTTTCGTTAGCCTCCCCCAAAGAGCCGAACGGGAGGTCAAGGTCAGCGAGAAAAAGAAAAAAGAAGAAGAAGCCATCCCTAACGTGGCCCCCTTCTTTTTCTTCTTCTTTCCTTTGATACTCCAAGCGACAAAGGGGATCCCTCACGAACAGCCTGGCCCCCAGCCGAACGCCTCCGCCCCTGCGCTTGGACTGCCTGGTGTGACTTTGTTCGCTGAAAACAGAGCCAATGTAGGTTGCCCCAAAGACCAAAAAGACCCCTACTTCGGCTTTTTCTTTTTTGTTGTATTGCCGAAGGGGAGGGGAGGGGAGGAAGGAAGGAGCTAGCACGCGATGACCCGTCCGATGTGCTCGCCGACTAATCCACCCTTGACCCAACTTTAGATTTTCCTTTTCCCCGCGAATACACCACTCCGTCGACCCGTCGAGCCAAACAAGGTCGCAAGCAAAGGGCAAACAAGGGAATTTCGGACAAGCGCGTCACTCGGCTGGGGAGAGACCAGGAGGGGGCACATACACAATGGCTACAACAATCGGGTACGTTTGCTTTCACGAATGCGCAATTTATCCCTCCCTGCGACCCATGTGTTCTCGAGGGAAAGGACTTGGTCCTCGCCTTGCCTCCTCCCCGTGCACCTCTCTGACCGTGACCTCGTGTCGTATGCTAACGCGTCTCTTGTTACAGAGGGTTCATCGCCGGTGGCATCGCCGCTTGCGGTGCCGTGACAGCCACCCACCCCTTCGAGACAGTCAAGATTCGGTGCGCCTCTCCCCTTCTCCAAGGCCGGCCTCTTTCCCCGTCCCAGGAGACCCGGTACCTCTATAACCTCCAACTCGCTAACCAAAGAATCTCAATCGCGTAGAATGCAGCTGCAGGGCGAGCTCCAGAGCAAGGGACACCACCCCAACTTTTACCGCGGTCCCCTCCACGGCGTCTCCGTCATCGTCAAGAACGAGGGCCTCCGCGGCATTTACCGCGGTCTCGGCACCGCCTACATTTACCAGATCCTCCTCAACGGCTGCCGTCTCGGCTTCTACGAGCCCATGCGTACCCCGCTGACGAAATTCATCTTTGGCGACGAAAAGGTCCAGAGCCTCGGCGTCAACATGCTGTGCGGCGCCTCGTCCGGCATCATCGGCGCCGCCGCCGGTAGCCCCTTCTTCCTCGTCAAGACCCGCCTCCAGAGCTTCTCTCCCTTCCTCCCCGTCGGCACTCAGCACAAGTACAAGAACCTCCTCGACGGCATGCGCCAGATCTACAGGGGCGAGGGCATCGGTGGACTCTACCGCGGTATCAGCGCCGCCATGATCAGGACCGGTATGGGAAGCTCGGTGCAGTTGCCCACCTACTTCTTCGCCAAGCGCCGGTTGGTCAAGCATCTCGGAATGGAGGAAGGCCCTGCGCTACACCTTACTAGCAGCGCCGTGAGCGGTTTCGTCGTCTGCTGCTTCATGCACCCTCCTGGTACGTTGCTCTGTTTTTCGAGAGAAGCGCCTCCTCTCTCTTTTCCCCTCATCTCTCTCTTTGAATACACCCGCAAATAACATGACTAACCCCATTCATCGTGCAGACACCATCATGTCCCGCCTTTACAACCAAAACGGCAACCTCTACAAGGGAGTCGTCGACTGCTTCATGAAGACGGTCCGCACCGAGGGTTTCTTCGCCATCTACAAGGGATTCCTTCCCCACCTTTCCAGAATCTTACCCCACACCATCTTGACTCTGTCTCTGGCCGAGCAGACCAACAAGTTCGTCCGCAGCCTCGAGTTGAAGATTCTCCCGCAACAAGTCTTGGAAGCGCAAGAGAAGAAGATTTAGAGTAGCCCTTCATCTCGATGAGCCCCAAGCGGGGCGATCACAAGAATATATAGGGTGGAGATGTTGAAAGAGAGAGAGAGAGGAGGAAAAGAAAAGAAAAAGCTTAATAGAGTCGGAGTTGGGTGGATCTCTTGGGTTTCTTAAAACTGCACGGGCGGTGATGTGCATTTCTTTAGGCATGTGGAAAGGATACCATTTCTTGGAGAAAAGGAAAAAGGAGCGGCGGCGGCGGCGGAACGGGTCCCCGTACCCTTGCAGGAAGACGATCTGGCCATGTCTCGATATTCTCAATGCGTATCGGGGCCAAGCGTGGCCGGCAGTCTCCCGTGTATATACTCTACTAGAGCACCTTCTTTTTGTTTCCCTTTGTTTAGAGAGGCCATACCAGCATCGAAGAGACATATCTGTTCCAGTTCTTATCATTTGTCAAGGAATTGCCCTTGCTTTCTCTATTTCCTTTAACCCCTGCTTCACTCGCAAAAATAAAAAGCTCTATAATGAGTCTAACCTCGGATTGACCTTTCGCAACCATAGCACAGGGGCGCACCCGCACGGCCTTCTTCCTCCGGTCCGACCCCTATCTCACCCTTCCAGCGAGCATCGCCGCTCTCGTCAACTGCCATGCCGCACAAGCCACACGCTACACTTCCCTGCTCGCCTTCTGCATCGACGGCACCTGCCCGCGTCAGCCTACCTGTAGTACGGACGACGTTGGCAACCACGGCAGGATACCCTTCCTCGACGCTCTCGAAATAGCGAACCATGGCCTCTTCGATACTCAGATCCTTGTGGGAGACGACTTCGGCTGAAGAAGGCGGATTCGCGACCGCAAGCCCGGTTAAGGGCGGGTCGGCGAGGCGAAGAAACGTATGGATCTCATTGCGGAAAATATCACGAAGGGGGTAGTAGATTTGCATGCTCCGAGGGGGCTTTCCTCGGGCGAGCTCGGGAACGGAAAGGGGCCGTCGTTGATCTGCCAGGGTACGGAGAATCCCCTGCCCTTGGCGACCTCGGAGAGGGTGAGCTCCGCCAGGGCTGTCGTGGTGCAACCCAACAAGAGGCCCTCGCACGAATTGTCGGCAGCGACGGAAAGGAGGATGTGGCGGATAAGTAGACGCAAGATGTCGGCTCTCGAGGTGACCGAGGGAAGCGCGTCAAACAGCGCCTGCATGCGCGCTTGAGGGTCCAGAGCAGGGTCGGTGGAAGGAAGGGAGGACCAGTCTATAGAAGATATGCCAAACGCATAGCTAAGGGGGACGAGTTGAAACTCAAGGTCGGGAAACCTCTCCCGATACCTCTGCAGCTGCAGCGTGGCAGCAGAGTCTGGATGACTATCCGCGGCAGCTGTGGGGGAAGGAGGTCGGAGGTCTGTGTCTACGTGCACAACTACCAAATCATACGCGGCTGGCGAGTTGGAGTTTGCTCTTGCGCGCACATATCTAAGGTTCTCGTCCAAGACGTGGACGAGGGCCGTGGACGAGGGCCCAAAGGAAAGCCCCGCGACGTACTTGCACGTGCGTTTTTCGCGGGGCCCGACAAGTTCTTTGCGCAGGAGGCCTAACCTTTTACAGCCTTGTTATGTGTAAATGACTGAAAGCAGGATCTATTTGGTTGCTTGGTTAGTTTTAGTTTTGATCATTACTTTTTTTTCTTCCTCTCCCTCTCAAGTAATTCTACCGGGGTGGTCGTCAATAAGAGGGGCGATGGCGGGGTTTCTATACGTACGGGCACGTCAAGTCGGCTCTGAGTTTAATGGTGGCGGGGTTGGACTTGCATCTTGCGCATGAAGGCGGCGGAGAGTCCTGGCTCGGAGCCGACGCCGGTTCGGCCATGACTGCTGTCCGTAAGTTGCTGGGTTGCACGGCCCGTGGGAGTTGAGCGTAATTCTTCCGTGTCAAGGGGAGGAAGTAAAGTGAATGTCTTTGAGAAGCTGGGCGTGTTGCTGCTTGGTTTTCAAAAGTTTGGTGTGTTGGGTTGAAAAAAGAGGGAAAAATTCTTCCTGGGCACGCTTTACGCCAGGCGCTGCTTGGGTGAGGAAGAGACCTCGAAGCCAAGTGGCGACAGCATTCGGCCATTCCCATAGCTTATCTCACTACATTATTTCCAACTTCACTTCTAGTCTACCACCTTATAGAATGAAGAATGATATTAGAAAAGGATCAGCTAGTTGGTTATCTATACCTTCAATATGTGTAAGCTCACGGTGCCACCTAACTCGGTGCTATCATCTACATATGGGATAGCATGTGTTACTGAAATTTCGAGGACAAATAAGAGGGACCGAATTGTATATGCGTTACACTTGTACTTAGCACCTTCCTTCTTTCTCATTGACGGGGTAGAAACATGTATATAGTGAGGGAAGGAAGTGTCTGTTTGGAAGGCTAGCTTGAGAAAGATCAATCCTTTTATCATTCAATTAGATGAGTCCCTAGCACCTTCCACCTTCTAGTTCTAAGAAAGAGCTAGACGTTATATACTTCAACTTTTCGCTTTTTACGGACTGCTATACTCGGGCATGATAGCTCATCTATCCTCCACCCCCACGCTGAGTTTATGAGTTTAGATCTGTGATGCTCCCTTCTTGCCTCCATTCTTATAATGCCCATTGTTCTTGCCCTCAGGGATCTGCTCGATAGCCTCGAGTAAGCTTTGGTTGACATCATCTCCCTTGGGGCATGGGCTACTTACTTTCCCTTGTTTCCCCGTTTCCAGACATCATCAACTGCGTTGTCATTGAGTTGTTCCTTCACTAGGTTTTACTTCGAAGCCTGTATACCTGCAGCTCGTTCCTCGAATTTGTCTATCGTTTATATTAACCAACTTCAGAGGCCACATCCTAGCCAAGACCTGTGTGTCGTACGCATCCACAGCAATACCCGCCACTCTCTCAGGCAGCATCAAGCTAGACACCAAGCCTACCATTTGGGTGGTGAGCATTGGTGGCACAGTAGTGATAGTTCCTATCTAAGAAGACATGAGTCCTACCAAGTCTAGCGAGAGCCCCAGGGCTCAAAAGTGGCAGAAAATCGCTGCCGATCTTAGTCCCGCAGTCAAGATTGGTAGCGAGTCGAGCACTGGTAGCGAATCCATTGGACGTATGGTCAGGAAAGCTTCACGGTCATTGAGCTCGAAAACAAGCACTCTTTTAGAAAGTCGTCGGGCAGAAGTTCAGATGAAATTGAATCCCTCGTTCCCCGCCATGCTTCAAAGGGCGACCTTCCTACAACTGTCGGCTGGCTTGAGGCCAGAGAGGACTACACATCTGCTCTTTGTGGAGAAAAGACCATTAGCAGCGACGGAGCAGGGTCCACGGCCCAGTTCCCAGGTAAGCTTGTGCATTTACCGATTTAAAACTTAATCGAAAATTGTACGCTGACTCTGCCTCTCCTTTGTCCCCGTTCCTTAGACTCTCCGACCAGATTACATGGGCGTCGCTCTCGAGTATTGGTGCTGCATTCAAGACCTGCCGCAATCGCCTCTCTATATACGGGAGTGTGGGGAGGGCCGTGGCCGAGACTTGGACGTGTGCGCCCCCTTCTTCATGTTTTCCCCATGGGACCCGCCGCGCATCGAAAATCTGGACCACATGAGCCCCGTGAGCGAAGACGGACCTTTGCCGTTTAGACTAGACCTTGATGAGGCGCTAAACGACATTGTTGAACGCGGAAATCGAATTGGATATATCCAAGGGCATGGCTCTAGCCCTTTCAGACCCTCGCTTCCCCTTCCTGCACGTGGCCGCCCTATGCCTCTGGGAAGGCCAGCGGAGGTGCTTGCGGATGTGGCCAACCGAAAGCCCCAAGACTATTTGGGCAAGAAAGGGGGCCCAATCTTTACCCAAGATTCCCAAAGGGCTTTGCGAGCCTTCGACTTCGGTGTTCGCCCACGTTTTCCTACTTACAACAATCCAAGGGATGTCTGGGTGAGAGCGGCAAGCAGCGGGAAGGACGCCTCCTCAGACGGTGCTCCGAGTAACCTAGCCGAACGCAACGAGGTGCTCGAAAGTGCTAAGCAGAGCCTTGGCAAATCTTCGCCCGAGACCGCCAAGGTCATGACGCAGATTCAAGATATGCCTCCTCGGGCTCGTGACAAGAAGGTTGAGGTTGGGGGTGGGATTCAAGCTCGAGTGAAGATGGCATGGCCTTGGATCCAACGTTCTCATGGAACTGTCAAGGTGTTTGACACCCACGCTGCGGCCCTCGCCAGTCTCCAGTACGAGATCCACAACGTCAACGACCTTGCGTTCTTTAATGCAGATTCGCAAACGTACTTTCTCCAGCCGCCTTGCTTTCCAATTGACAAGGAGGATGACGAGGTTGGCCGATCCCGTGGCTTTAAGACGGTTTCCTAAGTTGGTTGGATGGGACAAGCGCGACGAACGGAGCGGCCGAGATCTTGATGTCGGTGGAGCTTCGGCCAGCCAGACCCTATATCACCATGAATTTCGATGAGGAGGAAGACTACGTCATTGTGGATTTCCGAGATGACAGGATCCCAGAATGTCCGCTGGCTCGTGGTGGCATAGACAATCTTGATGAGTTCATGTCGGCCGAGGAATACTGAGGAGCAGAGGACGCAAAACCCGAAAGGCACAAGATGGACGGGTTATGAAGGGTAAAGTGATGAAGGGCCCCCAGTTGGTGACTCGGACTTGGCAGCTCAAGCATCTCACAACGCTTGGGGGAGGGAAAGAAACCCAGCTGATGAACCGAGTTTGGAGGCTACGTATCGAATGAACCCAGGACATTCTTTTCTTGGCGAGGCTTAGCCATGGGTTATTATTGTTCAGGGAGACTTCTTGTGCGTGGAGTAGGCTTAGTGACACGGGAGTATCAAAGCATCACTTAGCTTGATGCATGTATGTTCAGAAGTCTTAGTGTTAGGTTTGAAAAGAGCCCCGTTTATTTTTATGTTTCCTTCTAGAAAAGGCCTCCCCTTTTTAAAGGCCACTTCGAATCTTTTGAAGCTGGCTTATTAGTCCGTAGCCACCAGAGTACGGCTTCTGCTCCGCGCTTCCGGAATTCTTGGCAAGGCTGCCTTTTCTCGGCCTTCCCCGGCTGCCTTGGTGGAAGATTCTAGCTCCTTGAGGAGGTCCCGATGCGCGTCCTCTACGATCTTGGCGAGACTCGCAATAAACTTGGCCCGCCCACTCTCCTCGGCCGTGCCTTTCCAAACGGTGCACAGCTCCTTGAGCTCAGCCACCCGCTCGGCAGCCTTTTCGATGCCATGGACGGGATCTTCATCGACGAGGAGCGTCGACACCTGGTCGCGCATCGACTTGAGAACGAGCTGGCCCTTTTCCTCGGTGCTTTGCTGCTCGCTACCCGGTTCGGGGGCGGAGACGGAGAGGAAAGACGAGCTGACGGAGAGCTCGGAAGGGGGAAGACAAAGTCCATGGCCTCGCCAAAGACCTTGATGACGGCGTCGAGCTGCGCGCGCACCGTCGTGAGGGTGCGGAGCTGCTTGACGAAGTCGGGCTCGTCGGGGCCGGTGCCGGTACCGGATCCGGATGCTGCCTTGTCCTCGTCCGCCGCTTCGGACCTGTCCTCGGTGGGTGCGGGTGCGGGTGCGGCGGCGGCCGTAGCGGTGGCGGTGGCGGTGGCAGGCTCTACCGGGTTCAAGCCGCCGGGGACAAACTTTTCCACCTCCTTGCGCAGGGTCTCGTGGAGGGCCTCGTCGAAGGCGAGGGCCTCGCCCCGCAGCAGCTCGACCTGGTAGGCCAAGCGGCTACCGCTGCGGAGGATGTCGTCGGTGAGCTGGGTGAGGGTGTTGGTGAGGCGGGTGGTGTGGGCGTTGAGGGTGTTGACGAGTTCTTGGGACTCGGAGGCGAGTTCGGCGAGGGGGACGGGGGTTTGCCGCCGTTGCCGCTGGACCTGGCCGCCGCCGCTGATGTCCCAGTCGCCGAGCCGGCGGAGGGCAGGAGCGGGGGTAGCGAGGCGTTTAGGAAGGCGGCGGGGTCGAATTTGGGGTCGAGGAAGGGCTGGAGAAAGGGGTCCGCGACGTGGCTGGACTTGGGCTGGATGGTGGGTTTGGGCTGCTGCTGTGGTCTCGTGGCGGAGCTGTTTTGGCGGGGCCGGGAGGGGAGTTGTTGTGATGCCATGGGGATTGGGAGGAGGGAAGGCCTACCCGCCGCCGGGGATGATGATTCAATGGAGCCCTGGAGGGGTGTTCCTTTTCAAAGGGGGTAATTAAGAAAGTGCAAAACCAAGAGGGTCTCGCCTATCGCTCGTACAGACATCTAGCTGGATGTAGTCTAACTAAGAAGAACATGGAAAGCCATTTGATAATGGAATGGAGCAATTCATGTGCGGGTTTGGAGGGGTCAACTGAATTTGAGAAGATCAATGGTTCATTTGGTGCCCCGCAGAGGGCCCCCGTCAACTTATGGGGGCTCCCGTCTGTCCATGGACGGACCAAACCATAGGTGGCCGCGAGTGTGGAATTGATGTTGGGAGCAACACTAAATAATCTAATGTATACATGAAGGGTCTCCAGTAGTCTTTTTCTTAGGGACCAAGGGTTTAAAGACACTGATTCAGAACGATTCACTGATAAGGGATCTCAAATCTGCTAGAATCGTCGCCGTCACTGACACCAGACGTCATGAGGACCGACCGGCGTCAGAGCCCGGTTGCTAAAGAAAACCCCACAGAACTTGCGGCAAGCGACCAACCCCATCCGGCGTTACTTTAAGCCTAAAATATCGAGGGATACTATTCTACCTTGCGTCCATCCGTGTATCGTATGGAATGGATGGTATCTATTTATCGCTTAGATCAACTGTTGCTGGGTCACCAGCCCCAGGCTCAGGCAAAGGGTCAACGGTTCCAGGTTGTCGTCAGCTGATGCATTTATCGCACGTGATGGTGACATCCGAGGCGCCGAGCTTTAGCCGCCCAGTTTCGATTGCGTTGTGATTGCTGGCTAGGCAGTGCTGACGAAGGGCTGTAGTGTGTAGTGTATCGGACAAGGGGGGCTACTGATCAAAGGGTGCACCAGTCACCAGTCACCACTTGGGGGACCCCTTACTCCAGGACAGTCCAGCCGTTTGTTCACCTTGACGTAGCAGAACATCGGAGCCTGCCATCAACGTCGCTTTTTCAACAACCTCAACATCCACCCCCAACTTGCCCGACCACAACCTCTTTTCTACTCGTCATCTCGCATTTCTAGTGCACTCATTCAACGTTAGAACTCTCGAGACATCTCGTTTCGCCTCCAACTCCGCACGATCTCCCCGATCCCTTTTACCGCCCATCTCTCAACAAGATTCTGATAGCCCCCTTCCGTCATCATGAATCCCGAGTAGTATGTCGACCCCGTTTCCTCCCCGGCAGCGACACATCTCCACGCCTTTTTGAACGGATTTTGCTTTTTTATCTCTTCGTCAGAACATACTAACCTATCGCTAGTGTTTTTGACCGCTTCTTTATCTCTTCCGCCGAAGCCTTGGAGCGAACGATATCGCGAGTTTAGAAAGGCTCATTTTAGCGTCTGTCGAAACTAACCCGTTCCCCTCTCTTCTTTAGATACGATTACCTCTTCAAGCTCCTCCTCATCGGAGACTCTGGTGTCGGAAAGTCCTGCCTTCTTTTGCGGTTTGCCGACGATACCTATACGGAGTCGTACATTTCCACTATCGGTGTTGATTTCGTACGTTTTCCCCTTTCGCCCCGACCCTCCTCTCGCTTCTAGGCGACCCTAGCCAGCCGAGACCCGATTCTTTTTCAACTATAGGCGTCTTTTGTTGTCTAACTCTGATCTGCCTGTCTAGAAAATCCGAACGATAGAACTCGATGGCAAGACCGTAAAGCTCCAGATCGTAAGTTGTCGCATGCCTAACCTCGCCACATGTTTTTGAAACTCAAAAATGCGGGGAGGAGCCAACTGATTGACTGACGACGAAATTTGTAGTGGGATACCGCTGGCCAGGAACGCTTCCGAACCATCACTAGCTCGTACTACCGTGGTGCCCACGGTATCTGCGTCGTGTACGATGTCACCGACATGGATTCCTTCAACAACGTCAAGCAGTGGCTTCAGGAGATTGACCGCTATGCCACCGACGGCGTCAACAAGTTGCTCGTAGGCAACAAGAGCGATATGGCGGACAAGAAGGTCGTCGAGTACACTGTCGCCAAGGTACGGTTACCCCCTCGAACGGCCTCGAGCCCTTTACCCCTGTTTCGCCCCTGAAGATGCTGCAAGTTGCAGCTGCAGCTGCGGAGGTGCTAGGTGCTAGGTGCTGCTGCCTAGCGGGGTCGCAGGCTCTAAACCTAGGTGTGAAAGTCGATGGCTAACAACATAACAGGAGTTTGCTGATAGCCTGGGAATTCCCTTCCTCGAGACGTCGGCCAAGAACGCCAGCAATGTCGAGCAGGCTTTCTTGACCATGGCCCGTCAGATCAAGGAGCGCATGGGTACCGCCACCGCCAGCAACACGAAACCTTCCGTCCAAGTCGGCCCCGGCCAAGGTGTCGGATCCTCCTCCGGCAGCGGATGCTGTTAAGTGTTTTCATTGTCAACCGTTTCCACGCTTTTCCGTCTTCCTTGCAACGCACATTGCGGGTTTGAAGTCCCAGACACGACTAGGGGACTGGACCGCATGTGGGAAGAAGGAGATTGTGCGGTAGTGAGGTGGTGTAGCGGAGTCTTAATTGGTATACCGGGGAGCAGGTCTAATCGCATCGAGAATGGGGGAAATGGTTTTTTCTTTCCTAGCTTTGTTTACTTCTCTTTTCACCACATCACTTAGATCGAGGAGAAGGTGTGCTCGCGTGTATCTGTGCGTGTGTGCTTGTGTACGTGCGTCTGTCCATGTGCGTGCCTCTTTTGAAGAAGCCGTCACGACTTCGCTCGCGGGGAGGAGACGAGTAGAGCCCATCGCTTTGGTGGCTTCCCGCTGGACAGACTCGGTTTACCTTGTTGACTTTTTTGTTTCCCTTATCTTTTCTTAGGCGAATACCTGTAAAGGCAGCCGTAGACACTTTGAATGCAAACGGTCGCTTCTTCTTTTTTTATGTTCCCTTCCCTTGTATCTTTCTCTTTTCCACCTTGGGCCGTAACAGCACATTTAAGACTTGCTGTGTCCTTTGCCTTTAAAACTTTCACCACGTGGGATACGTGCCCCACGTGTTGAAGGTGAGGCTGGAGAAATAGGCAGCCTATATGTAGACTTTTCTCACAGAGGCGGTGAGTGACGTGAAGGCTGGCCATGTAGGCTACAATCACGTTCATCGAGCAGGGTAGCCTGCTCGCCAATCCCTCTACCCCGGTCCTCTTTGTGACAAGCGGCCGTCGTGGGCGGGCTTCCTGGGTTACGAATGGATAATAATGGCCGGGAAGCGCTCAAGGTTGGTTATACCTCTAACCCCTTCCTCGTTTCTTCTCTGCTATCCGTCTGATTCTTCTCTATCGTCCGACTTTTTCATATATTCATAAGCAGAGGAGAAGGGGACAGTGCGATACGAGAGGCGAATGTAGAGAGGATGGATATAAGATTTCGTGAATTGAAGATATACAAACAAGTGCTAGCCTAGTTCATCTAATAAGAAAATCTGTAAAAAGAAAATGATACTAAAAAAGAAAAAGAAAAGTTCAAACAGTCTATATGTATCGCTTGTTCGTTACAATCCCTGCCATAAAACCGCCAAAAACACCTATATCCCATATTCCACCCTAGACTCCCTTCATCATTTCGGGGTCCCCGGTATTTTGATACCCCCAAAGAATTCCTTCCTGAAACCGCCGCTCGTTTGGTGCGGAAGGGATGAAAGGACTAGGGGACGAGTAGAAAGTAAAAATAGAAAGACAAACAAAGGGAATAAAGAAACAAGGAAACAAAAGGAAAATCAAGTATAGTGCCCGACTGGCCTGTCGCGGCTAGCGGCGCGATTAGGAAGGGCACGTCTTTTCCCCTCTCGATAACAAAAGAGGCAGATTGTTTAGGACGATCTAGTCCCCCGGACCTCAAGCCAAGCCCAAAAACTTCAACGCTTTATGGCTGTCGCTCTTCCTGGCCGTGGATCTCCTCATGAAGATGGGCATCAGTCTCTTCTCCTCCAGGTCCTCGTAGTCCGAGCCGTCGTCGATATCCAGGCCCACGCCCTCATCCTCGGGTTCGAGGGGCAGGTGCTTTGCGCTGCGGTAGATGCTAGGGGACCTACGACCGCACGTGGTGTTGGTGGTGGTTGTGGTGGTGGTGGTCGCCGTGGTGGTCGAGCCCGTAGGGAGAGGCGGCCGCCTCGCTGAGAGCGGGGCGTCTGCAGGGGCGATTCGGCGGGCGAGGGGGATTCTGGAACGAAGTACCGTAGTGGGGCAGGGAAGCCGGAGAGAGGAGCGGGCTCTGGGACGAGACGGTCAAGTGCGGGATGGCGGAAAACGTGGCACCCGAGGGAGGAGGGGACATGGCGGGGCTGCCCATGGAGGAGGGGCCTGCTGAGCCGGCCGAGTCCAGTCGTCGAGACTGCTCATGTTGGTGATGGAGGCCGCCGGCGTAGTAGTAGCTGTCGGCATACAGCGGAGAGATGGCCGCGAGGACGGCGGAAATGGTGGAGAGGAAGGTGGACACCTCGGCCTCGGTGGCTCGGGATGTGAGAAGGTAGTTTGCCGTCGCGGGCGTGAGGTTCTCGGCGGAGCGGGAGGGCGAAGAGCTTACGCCGTAGTAGTGCGTCGAGGGCCACTTGGTGGGCGTGGCGGACCGCGAGCTCTCCTGGCTCCGGGCGCCGCGCAAGGGTCCGAAGAGGTGGTTACCGGACGCGGAATGATGGTCCGCGGCGATGATTTGGGCCACCTTCATGAGGTCGAGGCCGAGGAGGCGCTGCATGGCCAGGACGGTGGCGAGGTGCTCCGAAGGGTACTCGAGGACGAGGAGGCGGACTTCGCAGTGGGCGGCGAGGTAGGTTTCGAGGTGGGGGATGACGAGGGTGGCGAGGAGGTAGGGGTTCGCAAAGGGGTTCTCGTCCGTCTGCTTGGCGAGGGGCTGTGCGGTGAAGGCCTGCATGGCGTTGGCGACGAGGTACCGGAAGTCGAGGCGGCTGCTGTAGGAGACGCCGTTGGGCTGGGCGCTCCCGAGCCTCTCGAGTCGGCGGCCGACGCTGGAGACGAAGTCTCGGGGACGCCGGTCTGGGCGCCAAAGGCGATGATTTGGTCGACGATGCGTCCGCCGCTGACGCTGACGCTACTGTTGTTGCTGCTGCTGTTGGCCACGTCCTGCCCCGGGCGGGCGTCGCGGTCGCGGACGGCACCCGGGAAAATGGGCCTCCAGAAACCGTCGAGCTCGGGGAGGGGATGGAAGCTAAACTGGCGGAATCCGTTCTCGGCCGCGGGAAATCGCTTGCTGAGAAGCGACCGGAGCCCGTTTTGCACGGCGAGGGCGGTGGGGCTGCCTGTCACGTCGAACTCGTGGATGCGGGATGACGATGGCTGCTCGGGGAGGCGCCGGCGGCGGAGTCTGCCGGCAGTGTGGGTGGGGTACGCGTGGGTGGGCGAACGGGCGTTGTTGCGCGCCAGGGGATGAGATTGTCGTTTTGGTCGTGATGGTCGTTGACATTGTGAGGCGGCTTGTTGACATCCATGAGGGTTGGTTCTGGTAGGAAAACGGGTCGTATTCGTCGTTGTCGGTGGTGCTGGTGGTCTGGATGGAGGGAGACGCACGAACAGTCCGGACCGGCGGCGACTCTTGCTTTGTGGGTGTTACTACGGGACGTGCTGGTGTGCGGATCCTCTCTTCGCGCTGAACGTCAGCTACTACAGGCACTACAGGCGGCTGCTGCTTGCCATACGCAGTGTTGCGCTTCAACGACCGGACGACGCGGTCCAGCACGGAATCGGGGCGCCCGTTTTTGAAATACACGACGAGATCCTCCGTAAACGGCAAAACCGGCTCGATACTAGCCCGCGCGACCGAGGGCGCGACCTCTGCATCCGTGCCTCTGTCCACGTACGACGACGAAGTCCGCGGTCTCCTGGAGGGCTTGCGCGGCTGCTTGACGAGGATGGGGTCGCCGTGGCGGGCCGAACCACAAACGCCGACGACGTGGGGAGGCCGCCGCCGCCGTAGCTGGGGCTCACCGAAGACGGCGACGCGGGCGCCGCCTTGTCGCTCCCGACGTTGGGGTTGGAAAATCGCTTGATGTCGTCGAGGTCCTCGAACCAGTGGTTGATCTGCGTGGTGGTCGACGAGAGGCGGAGGGACAGCTCCAGGAGGCGCGCGCCGCTTCGGGTGCTGGCTCTATCGAGGAGGTGGCCCTCCGCAGGCTGCCGCGCCGGGAGCGGGACGGCGAAGAGGACATGCGCAGGATGGAGGCTTCGCCAAAGACGACGGTGTCTTCCTCGTCGTGCGTGATGGCGGAGTAGATGGACCGGCGGTATACTTCGCCCAGGCAGCTCGACGGGCGGTGCGAGATGGGGAGGCGAGGCACGAATCGAGGCCGTCGGTGTCGTCGGGCTCGTCGTAGAAACTCGTAATGGCGAGGCGGGGGCTCTGTAAGAAAAAGTCCTTCCCGCGCAGTCATTGTTGTCGTCGTCGTCGTCGTCGTCGTTCCTATTCGTGGTGGTGGTTTGGTTCTCGTGGACTATGGTGGAATCGCGCACCGACTCGTCCCCCGACATGAGCTTATCCGAGCGGGCGCCGAAAACGAAGAAGGGCGCGGAATCGCCCAAGTTATCCAGGAAGCCGTAAATAGGGAGGCTCATGCTGCGCGGCCGCGGCCGTCTCGCGGTCGCCGCGGGCGTTAGGTCCAGGACGGTGCTCGGCTGCAGAGACTCGGTCTGCCGGTCGAGGGCGTCGGCCGCGCGCATGGCCGTGGTGATGGGATCGTGGATGAAGAAGGATTCGAGGAAGCGCAGCTCGTCGCTGCCCGAGACTGCCGGCGCGAGTACGAGCAGGAGCGGGGCCGTTTTCCGAGCCCTGGGGTCTTTGTCGTCGTCGTCGTTGTTTCTGTTGCTGCTGCTGCTACTGCGAGGTTGTTGGCTAGACCATCGGCGACCAGGGTCCGGAGGCGGTCCTCGGCCCTTGCCACGTCCCCAGCCGTCTCGTTCTCGGCGATGGCGCGGATGCAGAGGGCGTAGGCGGAGGGGTGCCGCCGTTGAGGAAGACGAGTCGTTTGGCGTCGGGGCTGCCCTCGTTGAGGAAAGAGAGGGCGGCGGTCATGCGCGCGGCGGCGGCATCGTGGACACTTCGGACAAAGGTGGGAGCGTGAAACCGGGCGGGGTCCCGGTCCCGAGGGTCGGATGGGAGTAGGTAGTTCTCGAGGGAGGGTAGGATGAGGATCTGGGGTGACACGGGGAGGAGTCGGAGCTGGGTGCAAACGGAGGAGTCGGAGGATCCCTCGAAGGCGACGACCTTTCCGTGGCGACCGGGGGTGGTCATTTTTCTTTTTGCGGCAAGAGGAAAAGTTGGGTGATGGGGTATCTCCCGGGGGGGAAGGCAGAGGAAGGGAAAGCAAGCTAGGTGCGAAGCGAAGAAGAAGAAGAAAAGGTCCTGGGAGCCGGGAATAGACGGATTTCAAAAAGGCCGAGACCTTGAAAATGGGTTTAGAGAGGATGTGGATGCTTTAGACGAGAGGGCAATGGTGTGTAAGCGGGCGAGATACCATCTCAGGCGCGGCGTCTCGTGTCGTCGTAGCGTATAAGTAGGAAGCCGTAAACCGGCTGGTAGGCCGCGTGGACTACTATCGTTGTTCCCATTCGACAGAAGCGAGAAGTCTTGGAATAGCTCAACGCACCTTTTGTGGGAATGGGGACTGGGCAGTAAGTAATACCTCGGGATGGCGAGAGGACGTGTCCTCTGGGGGTTGCGTAGGAGCAACAGGGATGAGAAAGGCTGAAGGGATGGCGTTGGCTGATGTCGATCGGTGGCACGAAGTCCAAAGCTTTTTCTTATTTTATTGTTTAGCAGCCAAAGGTGACAAAGAGATAGTGCTGAGGTGGCGCGTAGAACAAAGAAAATGGAGGTTGCACGATGATGGTAGGAGGAGGGGAGCGGGAGGGGGCGTGGTTAAGAATGGAGAAGAAAGGCGGCGCCGAGAGAAGGTGGATGGACGTAGTGTAAGTAGAGGGTAAGTCGTGGGCGCGCGGCAGAGAAGGAGAAGGGGGCGTGTGGGAGAGGAGAGGCTGAGAAAAGGAACTGCGAACAGGAACTGCGAAGAGGAAGAGAGGGTGCGGGTGAGCAGGGTTTAAGGGAGCTGCTCGGGGGGCGTTTGGTCGAAGAAGGGACCCAAAGATTGGATGTGTTCGATCGGAGAGAAGAAAACGAAACGGGATGATCCCATGTGCAACGCGCAGGAGAGATGCAGGACAGTTAGACGCACACACACACAACGTACACTTTTGGTTCTTGCCAGCCGCTACTTTGGTCCAGACGAGGAGGAGGAGGAGGAGAGCGTGGTTGAACGGGAGCCCACCTCGGAGCGGGTCCAAACAAAAACCAGCTCTGCTCTGCTCGGTGGGAAACGTGGATGTTTGGAATCAGCTTTCTGGGTTCAAAGTTCCAGGCTGCTTGGTTTGGAAGCCACCCGGCGCGTGTGGGAAGAATTAGGCACAGGGTAATAAATGCCGTGTTGGGGATTTTACTGTACCTGAAGTTCCGGCTATTCCCACAACCACCTCTTCATCCAAACAGAAACGTGGGTTGGGGATATATAGCAACGTGATGGATGCCCTCCAACGATCCCGCGTTTCCCGCCTCACTAACCCAAAAATGGGATTTTCTTTCCTACGAGTTTGTGCCTCTCCCGGGAAACGCGCCGGAAGGGGTGAGGAAACGGGAAGGGGAAGAGAAAGGGGGAGCAGCAGCAGCAGCAGCAGCGAGGATCACGTCGGTCCTTGACAGATCTCGTACAAGACGGAGCTGCGGAAACAGAGCTACTATTACGGGGACTGGCGCCAACATCCACGATGAAACATCAATAAAGGGTACCGCTATACTAGTATAATACTCGTCAACGGCTGAGCATTAATACGTGGCGAGGGCGGGTGCAGTGCAGTGAGTGCAGGCCAACGGGTGGGAAAAAGGAAAAGGAAAGAAAAAAGGTTGAAAGAGAAACAATAGCGGGAGTGCTAAGGAGGGAAAGAGAGGGAGAAAGAGGGAAGATTGAAATGGTGAGTGCCCGAGGAATGTCGGTGATGTAAAATGTCTGGGGAAAAAAAGAGGAATGAAAAGTGCACAGCACAAAGACTGATTTTCTTTACACGCGCATGCTCACGCTCGGTGAACGTAGCGTCGTACTTTGTTAACACACACACACGCACGCACTATTACACACACACAGAAGACATGGATGTTCTCTTCTTGATGCATTATCATCTCTTTCTCTTTTCTCGGTGTTTCTTTTTATTGGCCTTTCTTTTCTCTTTTTCTCCCTTCTTTCTTCACGGACTCGCAGCCGCCGTAAACGGCCCACGGCAAAAGGACAAGCTAACACGAACGCTAAACTAGCTTGCGAGTGAGATGGCCGAGAGAGCTCACGATGTGAAACTCGACAAGGAAACGGGGTGCGTCAATGGCCAGGCAAAGCCAGGGAAGGGGGCTCTCAAAGAAACATCTCCTTTGGCATCCATCTTACCATTGACTTCCGGCCTAAGCTCTGGGCATGGGCATGGGCAGACCAAACCAGACAGGCAAAGGCAACAGGGATGATGGGGACAAGCTCGAGCCCCAAGCCAAGGGAGGACAAATGCAACGGCCGAGGCCAGCCAACGCCAGCCAACGCCAACGCCAACGGTCGGGTCCAGTCCAGTCAGTCCAGTCCAGTGTTGGTGCGCGAAGGAATGAACACAGTCGGGGAGCATTGCACTATCACTTGTAATACATACCGAATAGATGTACTTGTACTGCTTTGCAGGCTGAGCCAGAGAAAAGAGACAACAAAGACCTTGCTCGCAGGAAGAAGAGAAGAGAAAAAAGTCTGGTACGTGGCGGGATTGATATTGCTTGGCTCGCTACCGAGAAAAGGGCTATCCCGGTGCGGAGGGTAGGGACTTGACCATGGCAAGGAAGGCCTGGCTTCGGAGCGGGGAGCTGGGGAGCTGGGGAGGAGCTGGGGCAGAGACTAACGCATTATGATCAGGGAATGGGCACTATTCATCGTGAATACTTGTACGATCTCGCTGCTTCACAAGGCATTGTATTAAGCCATCGCGTCAAACCAGTAATGCCCTCTCCCCGCTCGCGTGCCGAAGATCTGACTATTCCGCTGCGCTAGCGTTGATGCTGAAAGAGAAGATTGAAGCGAACGGGCAAGGTTGGTCTGGTGCAGTGGTTTCGATTTGCGGCATTGCAAAAGCCGCTGCTCGCCCATGTCTTTTGCGCATGTAACCAGAGATGGATTGAATTGATGGACCCGTGGACCCATTGATGGGGGGATGCGACAACGTTGGCTTCATCCCGCTCAGATTCCAGGTCGCATTCTCCATCAATGAGGGACAGGAGTCTTTGATTGCTCGCTCAGCCCTTGGGTTACTAGCGGGAATCAGTGACAACCCATCTCTGGGGCGGAAGTCGATGAATAGCAGTACTTCAAATCGTACAATGGATCAATGGATCCAGAGATGCAGATGCATTATGATTATGGGGAGGGAAGAAGAAGAGGAAAAACAAACCCCCAGTCTCAGGTGGGCATTATTAGGCTGTATTATTGCGTCTCGCGTGCCCCTCCTCCACACATCCGTACACACACGGCATGCAGGCCTGGGAAGACACCCATGGAAAGATTAAGACCTCGTACACGAGCCCATTGTCGAACTTATCCCTCAGTGCATTGGCGTTGTGCCATTGCCAGCTTGAGATCTGTAGATGGACGGGCCAGCGAAAGGGGAGCACACTTTGAGGGTTGCGCCGGACTTGGGAGCCTCCATTTGGACTGCATCGGACCGCGCTGCACGCTGCCCTTTTCGTGTCAAGCACAAACGACGAGCATCTATGGATGTACGAAGTATCTCGTCTGCAACACACCTACGCTGTTGGCGCTGGTCGGGTGGTGGCAGCTAATATGAAGCCACCTTGGATGATCATTTGTTTCGTTCGCTTTTCCTGCCTCTCCCTCTCTTTAATTTCGGGGGTTTTTCACGTTTGGCCGTGATTGAGCCTCGGCCAAATCAATTCGTGTTTGTCCCTGCAGCATTGTCAGCTGCCTATGTGTGCTTCAGTGTTATGTTGATGAGCTTGCGTCCATTCAGTCATTCGCAAGGGACGCCGTAAAAGAGGTAGGGCATGAACCACGGAGGAGATGTTGGGATGGGATCTCGCAGTTCATGTCCGCACTGCTTTCAATGTTGGACCAATTGATCTTTTCAAATGTTCAATGTTCAATATTCTCTTCACCTGCTCGAGTTGAGCAACCTGGACATGTCCGCCGGGTCTGCCACGTGCAACGCAACACCAAGTCATCAATGATTCGAATTACATCCATGTACAAAGTGTTATTCCAAGGCTCCCGAATCAAGATTACCTTCACGAGATGAGACCAACCGCTCGGGTTGGGCTGGGAGTGTAACAGACAAACGACAAACGCCATCCGTCCTCTCTCTTTCTGTCTGTCTCTCTCTCTCTCACACACACACACACAAGTCAGAGTTCCCTGCTGTGCGGTGCGTGTGCGTGTGCGTGTGCTTGTGCGGCCGCAAACCTTGGTTCGCCTCAGGGTCTGCGCTCTCCCCCCGTCCCTTCAGATCGATTGCAACCCTTTTCCACCGTAGCATTGTAACCCTTTTCCCACACTCACCGCTAGGTTTCCGTTACATGTTACACGGCGACATCCGGCCTCGACCCTCTCTCTCTTTCCGTCTCCTTCTTTTATTCGATTGGAGAAGAGTCGGGGGAAGCGACTCCAACAAGTCGGTCTAGTCTGTCGTGTGCCAGGCCTTCAATGTCTTGTAACACGCACGCGGGCAATTGGAGCTCCATTGCGTGTATTACAGGGTCGCCGGTGCTCTCTTTTCGCAGACGCCGAAGGCCATAATCTCGCCCGGCTCTAGCCTCGTTTCACCCCTGATAGAAGCAGATTGGAACGAGGCTAACGAGCCAGCGCCGCTCTTATTACGGGGCACGGAGCACGGAGCACAAGTTGAATGTGAGAGACGACGCAGCTATCCGCGTCCAGCGTAGTGTAGTGGCATGGCATACACCACTCTACTTGTACACCAATATGTGAAAATTTGATGGCCTCTTGCGCCTTGCCTTCCATGGTGCCTCTCGAATCTCGTCAAGATGGGCGCCACGACGAGTGCCGTGAGATTGGGACTCTACACTAGTCGTGGACTCTTGGAAGAGAGGGAATATTAGTCAATTTCCGCAAAGGAATGTCTCATTCCCAGTCAAGCCAGGGTAAAAAGAGCGCTAGCCAACAGCTAATATGGCAGCCCATCCTCTTCTCAGGTTGTTGACGATTAGCTCGTGTGAAACCCCCTCGTCAAAGAGGACATTGGTGCTCCTCTTTTGTCATTTCAAGTGTTGGCGCGTACTCTTCTTAGTGCTGGGTGTCACGATACTTGTACAACGGCAGCCCAGCTGAACGGGGTCGAGGGATCTCAACCGATCATGACATGATTGCGAGCTCCAGCTGCTACTTCGTGCTTGTAATATGGATATTAACCCCACAAACAAAAACGAGAGCTATATCAATTGATCAAGGGTCCTCAAGTGATCGGTCAGTTTCCGGGCCTCGCCTCGTGTTTTGGGTTGGAGTTAAACCCGAAAAAAGCAAGCCCACTTACCACTGCATCATCTGGTCGACCTTCTCTCGTTCTAGAATAATACTGCACTTTCTCGTGGCCCATCGACACTAGGCTGTCTACGCGAGTTTCCATTCGTCTACCGAGATGCATGTGCGACGTAAAGTACTGAGGTATTAGCTCGAGTAATAGTAATAGTAATATTCAACACTATTATGCCTTTCTTGTAATACTTCCTCAGGGATCGATGGATTGTCTTGATCAGCGAGAGGATTCCATGATGACTTCCAAAACAGAAATGATCAACCAGGTTCTATATCACACCAATTATCTTTCCCATCCCGGCAATGCTCTCCGTCGGTAATATACACGACATACACCATGTATCACAAGGTACGAAGTATCATCACAATAACAAAGAGCTAATAAGAGCAAGACCAACACCCCTTTTCCTCAGCCTCGCGGTGACCAAGGTCCAAGGATTCCACGCCGTGAGAGATCGGTGCTCGCGCCTTTTGAAGGATCCGCCGATCAATGTCCACATTGACCCAACATTGGAACTCGTCGGCTGATGAGATCAACAGGGCAGGGCCACAGAGAGTACGCAGGGCCGAATGTTGAGGCGTGTTTGCCCTCCACGAGAGGAAGTGACCCTGGATTGGCCGAAAGACTATTGAAGCTGAGCCAAAATTATCACCAGATGAGTGCGGCGGGATTTCCACAAGGATTGCCCCCAACCCATGTTCAGTCCAGTCCAGTCCCACGCCGATGGATGGAATTGAATCCCCGGGTGCGTTCTTTTCTGCCCTCTCTCCCCCTCTCCCTTTCCTTTCTTCTTTCTTTCCCTAGGAGAAAAAAGGGAAGAAGCCCAAATTAGACTTGTCGCCCACTCGAGAGGCAAGCACGGATACCCACGCTTGCCACGCACCACTCAACGCGCGCATGACGATCATCGTCGCCAATAGCCGCCGAGGCTCGTCTAAGAATAAGCATCCACTTCCGCAACTCGCGAGACGCAGCCCCCAAATTACAGTTGCTTTGAATCAAAAAAACTTGCGTCTCTTTTGTGTCAGGCCTGGGAAAAAAGTACTTGTGGCCCTGGAGGCCGTTCGCTGCTGACAACTGTCATGGATCTTTTGCTATTCTTAGCCCACAGGACAATACTTATCCTCACACTAACGAAAACAGACTCGACAACGCCGACAAGACCTAGCCACGGCGTCTAGTAATTCCCCTCCGAGACGGGCTGGGCTGGGGGCTCAAGGTGCTGCTTGTGCATATCGCTAGGGCGCGAGTCCGCGCCGACCACACGCCGCCGCTCGCTGGCCTAGGCCTGAGCTTGAACTCGAGGTTCAAGCTTGATCCCCGTCCCCCTGCCCCTTGCCGAAGACAGGATGAGACTAAACCCCGATCGGCCTAGCCCGGCCGATGACAAACCCCAAGCCTAGTGAAGGAGGGAAAAAGCACTGACCTGGAAAGGCCTGTGCGAGGCGCGCGATGGCGGGCCAAGCCCAAAACTCATGGGGTGGCATCCGCTGGGATTTCCAAAAAAAAAAAAATCAGTGACAAGGATCGTGTGCTCAGTGCTCTCTGGTCCCAACCAACCCCCTCCCCTCCTTTCCTTTGGCTTGACCGCTGGCTTACGGCCTTTTTTTGTCGTTGTTTCTGTTTTTCGCTTGCGCGGCAGGAAAGCAAAAGCGTCAACGTTTGACAGCGGCAAGTTTCGACGCCTTAAGAAAAAGTCAAAGCACGGAGAAGCGTCCAGTCTGTCTCGTTGTGTGGTTCGACAGGGTGCGGGTGCCTTGGTGGTGCCGTTGGATGGGGACATGACGCTGTTTCGTTTTTCCCGGGCACGCCGCCAGGGAGAGGTGAAGTTGAGGCGACTACTTCGTAGTAGTAGATGACTTTCCTTTGTTGACTAGCTCCTCCTTTATTTCGATTTAGTCCCCAAGAAAAGAAACACGATGCATGCAGCCCATCGCTAACATTTCCCGCTGGAATGGGTGCTGGCACAGCATCGTCAGTTCCGAGTCGTAACCTCTCGGCGACTTACACTAGCGAGCACGACGGACTCGGGGCGAACGCCTTTTTGCTCAAAGAGCTCTTTTCTTGAGAAGCAACCAACAACATCTTCTCAGTGCTGCGAATTTGGGGCCTGGCCAGCCCCTGTCGGAGCAAACGCAACCAAACGTGTGGGTTTTGGGCCGGGTCCATCACGGGCCACCCAATGGCGCTCAAGCTGTGATGTGGATGTGCCAAACTCTCTCTCACTCTCTCTCCCTCCTCCTGGCTGACCAGGTATTGACACACCCGAACGGACCTCGGACTCGCAGAACGGCCCTGTTGTCACTTCTTCCCCGCTCGTCCCCCCTCTTTTTCAGTGTCCCTTCATAAAGACTCCTTTTAGGCTTGCAGCGACGTCCCATCGGAACCTCATGTTTCCGATATCCCAAACAGCGTACCTGCTTATGTTCATCCCAGCCTCCCCCTTCTTCCCCTTACCAATGACTGCTGCACATGCAACGAGACCTCGATGAGGGCACCTACTGCATGGAGCTTATCGTTCCGAAGACGAAGAGGGGGGCCTTGTCACCCTGCTAGCGCTTCGTTGTGCCAGCGGGTGCTCGATCTGACAGCTCTTAGCCCTTGCTCCGCGGCCCAGGAAGTGGGTTTACCCTATGAACTATATCCGTAGGATGCCGAACAAGACGCCCGCTTCTCTGCAGTCAGCGGCCGCAGACATGACCATTTTTTTATTCTTTTCTCTCCAACTCGCATCATCGAGCCCTTGTATTGAGGCAAACATCGGTACGAGTTCCGCGTGGGAATCCTTGCCTTGCGTTTTCGAGGCGCCAAGGCAGCGGCACCTCTTCTCGGCTTGCCTTGGGGGTTCGGGTGGTGACATGATAGCCACTCTATTTACGTATCGCGAACATGCCGTGTTCCTCTCAAGCCTCTTTTTTTTTGTTCTTCCGAATAGGTCGTCAAACGCTTAAGCGCCCACTTGGGTTTTTATTGAAGGGTCCGTTTACTAAAAATATCCCACGCAGAAGAAATTCACTCGAGCCTTCTTTGCTCACTTGACTCGACCTCGCATCGCGAGCCGCGCTCGTTGACACAGTTCCCAGCCGTATAGAGGCAACTCAATGGTTCGGGTGACCAAGTGTCCAACGTTGCCAGCAGCCGATGGAGGAGGGGAGACCTATGCATGCTGCTGTCATCTCACCACGATGTAGTCTGTTCCCCCCTCCTTCTCGCGGCCGGAGCTCCGCGTGCAATTGTAGAGTGTGAGGCTCGGCCTCGGGGACCCCCATTAGTTCAGCCCCCCTCCCCCGCGCCCACGCCCTTCCTTGTCTCTGAGTTCCTCGGCTTCCTGCCTTGCCTCTCAGCCCAGCACACTTCTCGTCCATTGCCTCAAGAGTCAGCCCGTTCCGTTGGTGTGGTACAAGCCCTCGATTATACGGGATTAGGAGAAAGGCCCGCCGTCTAGGCTTTCCTTGGTGCCTCTGTAGCATACGGCATGTATGGGAGGAATAGGGTGAAAGTATACCCTTCCCCATCTGTTGGTCCCGATCAGGCGAGGATACACACAATCAAGGGCCATCATCGTCCGACTTGAAGAGCCTCTGTGTATGCAAACCCCTACATCTCACCTTGAGGTGTGCCGCCACTCAAGCAGGGAGAAATCCCGGGTTCCAGATACAAACCCAGCCCAGGGGTTCATGCATTCTTCCTGCCTAGGACAAGCGGGAAATTTCCAAGGTGCTGGTTTCTAGAGTAGGAAGAACATCCTACCGTAAACAATTTTGTTTCTGCTTTTCTTCGCTATGCCATCTATGGATGTATTCAAAAATCCTCCACCTCGACTCTTGAGTATACTACGTAGTGATGTAGTGAAGCTAGTCGTCATCCATGAGCTCCGCAAGTTCCGCCTCCTCCTCCGCCGTCAGCATCCCCGCCCCATTCGTGCCGTTGGTTTCCTTTTCCTCTCCTGCCGGCTTGCTCTGGATCGTCTTGATCTCCTCTACGAGATTGTCGAGCTGCTCCTTCATCAGGGGCCAGGTACGAATAGTCCCGTCGATGCTCACGCTGCACACCCTGTGGTGCGTACCTCGAGGATCCGGCAGGAGGACCAAGTCCGTAATCTCGTCGTAGTGGCCCTCGAGAGCGCAGTGAAGGTTGCCCGAGGACCTATCCCACACCTTGACGTCCTCGTCCCTCCCTGCCGTGACCACCCAGGCGTCGGTGGGCACGACGGCCCGCAGGTAGTCGCCGTGCGCGTACTCGTCCTCCGTCGTGAAGTGGCGCGCGCGCGAGAGACACTTTGCCGTCCCGTCCGCGCTCGCGGTCCACAGATCCCCGTCCTCGTTGTTGCCCTCCTCGAAGACGAGCTTGTACACGCTCGTCTCGTGCTCCTGGATGGTCAGGCGCTCCGCCCCGTGCAGGCTCGGGTCGATCTCCGGGAGCTGCTCGTACGAATCCTTGCTGATGCGCCAGCGTCGGATGTGCGGGTCGCTGCTCGCGCTGGCGACCACCACCGCTTCGGGCGTGGACAGGACGGGGTCCACCGCCAGGTGCTGGATCGCGAGCATCGTCGTCGTGGGGTCCTGGATGGTGTGCAGGCGGGCGCCCGTGCCGGCGTCCCAGACCATGATCTTCTTGTCGGACCCTCCGCTCACGAGGATGTCGGTGTCCCCGAGCCGAGTGCAGACGAGGCTCTTGACGAAGTCGGAGTGGCCGATGAACTTGTGCTTGGGCTGGCCCGTGGCGAGGTCCCACGACCAGATGCACTTATCCCAGGAACCGGCATATACGACGTCGTTCCGCCGGCCGCCGACCGCTACGCAGCATACCGGGTTCGTGGGGCCTTGGTACGTCTTGGTGACACTCGAGGTCTATTTGTTTTCGAGTGAGCTCCTTGTACACATTCGGACCCTTCCTTCCTCTCTACTGAGCTTTAGAGTCTTACCTCAATATTGACCCGTCGAACCTTGCCAGCAGCCTCCGCGACGAGGACGGAGGAAGAGGGTGAAGCAGGATCATTAACCACGGCGAGGACTTTGGATTTGAGCACGATAGGGTTGCCGAATTTGTTTGCCTTTTTCACCTCGCGCTTCTCTCGCTTTTCTATAGACGCACTGAAACCTCACCATCTTGGTCAGTCAACCCTTTTTCTCTCCATATTTCTCATACTGGATGCCCTTTTGGCGGATGGTTTTTCTCACTCGGTCTCAAAAAGTGCTGAGGATCGTTGGAATTCATCTTTTGTGAGGTGGGGGAGGGGTAAGATGGATGATGCTGGAGGATTGGGAACCGAAGCCAGTCCCCCGATCGGTTGTAAGAAAAAGGATGTTTCCTCCCAAGAATTGAAAAGTTTCCCTGCGATTTCCAAAGAATAAATAGAAGTAAACTGAACAAGGCAGCTATTTTGGAGGTTGTCAACTATTTATTTGTCTGCCTAGAGCAGTTCATGGACGCCCCGGGTGGTGGGAAGTTGGTCCCTCTGCGAGAAGAGGTGCGATCGCAATTCCTCACGGCGAGCTAGGTACAAACAGTTGTCATCAGTTGGTCACAAAGCCCCCCTTGCCCCCTCCAGTAGCCACGGTGACCCACATTGAGTTTAAGTGCAAGTGCTAAATCCTGACGCGTCAAGACGCGTTCCACCCTCCAACCCAGGATCAGAAAATCAATCCACTTCAAGCTGGTCCCCTCTAAATCGCTGTAAAGATAACCTCACAAAAAGAGAGGATAACCCCCACCTCACCCCAGGAAAGAAAAAGCCCTTGTGTGTGTTTCTTTAATATTACAGCTCGTCCACTCATCCAGAATTTGTTGGACAAGATGGATTCGACTGCGAGGGTCAAACCTCGGTCCCGCCCTGCTCACACAAAGGGCATCACGCGCTGCGCCTACACGACCGACGGCTCTCGGCTCATCACCGTCGGCTCGAACAACACAATCCGTCTCTACAAGACTGGTTTCGACGGAGAACCCACGAATATCGACGAATGCCCCGAACACAACGTCGCCGTAGCAGCCTCGAGCGAGTTTTTCGTCGTGGGCTCCGAGGACGGCACCGTCAGCCTCTATTCTCTCGCCTCCGCCACGTTTGAACGCTTCTTGCTCCGTTCCTCGCTACCTATCCGCGACGTGGCCCTCTCCCCGACGGGAAGTGGTGCGCCGTGGCGAACGATGACACAACGGTCAAGATCGTCAACACCGAAGACACTCTCCAAGTCAAAACCCTCAAGGAACATGGGCGCTCGACAAAGCACGTTTCATTCGACCCCAAGGGAAGCTTGGTCACCCTGACGTGTACGGATGGCATCATTTACGTCTATTCCATGACATCAGAGACGCCGGAGCTGATCAGGAAAGTTGACGGCGTGGTGGGCATCCTCGACATCGACTCAGACGTCTCGGGGGCGGTTGTCTGGCATCCCGACGGCCGATCCTTCGCGGTTGCGACGCCGACACGAGATATCCAAGTAGTGTCCAAGAATGACTGGGAGAAGCAGCGCAAGTTTGCCAATGGGCACCTCGGCGATGTCACGTCTCTAGCGTGGTCGCCCAACGGCGCCATGCTTGCCACCGCCGGTAGAGACGGCAAGGTATTGATTTGGGAAACGAAGACGCAAGGAGTGATTGACCGACATCATTTCAACAATGTCGTGGACTTGTCCTGGCACCCCAAGAATAATGTCAACCTCCTGTCATTCACTAGCACGGAGGGGGAGGTTTTTATCTACAATGACTTCGTCTCAGATCAGTTCGCATCCTTGTTGAAGCTCCCACTTCAACCCTCGCCCTTCTTCCACGACCCTCTCGCCGACATCTCTGGAAACGCTCGCAAGCCCGACGCGGTGAGCAAGCCTTTGGCAGCTCGGCCTCGGAGGGATTCTCTCGGTAGCCTCGAAGATGCGCTCTTGGACGACGACCTCGGAGACTACGGTGTCGATGGCGACTTGGACGACTTTGTCGTCGACGACGACGGCGCTGGCTACACGACTGGCCGCAAGAGGCCGGCTGAGGACGACGGCCAAGGCGAAAACTCGAGCAAGCGCCGCCAGCTAATGCAGCCTCAGCTCCATGCGGCCTTCCAACCGGGTTCTACGCCTTGGCGTGGAAACCGCAAGTATCTCTGCCTCAACCTGATCGGTGTCGTGTGGACTGTGGATCAGGACTCTCATTACACGATAACGGTGGAGTTTTACGACCGAGAATTCCAGCGAGACTTCCACTTCACGGATACCTATCTTTACGACAAGGCATGCCTAAACGAAAACGGCGTCCTCTTCTCCAACCCGCCCAAGGATGATTTGCCTGCCACGGTCTTTTACAGGCCGCACGAGACGTGGACTCAGAGGAGCGACTGGAGGACAGAGTTGCCCAAGGGCGAGTCCGTCGTCGCCATGTCTCTCAGCGACTCCTTCGTCACAATCGTCTCCAGCGCCAATTACGTGCGCATCTATACGCTGTTTGGTATCCCTTACCGGGTATACCGACCTAAGAACACACCCGTGGTCACCTGTGCCAGTTGGAAGGACTACGTGCTCACCATGGGCAATGGACCAGTTGGCCCAGACGGCCGGGCTAAGCTTCTTTACTCGATTGAAGATATCAAGCGAGACGAGATTTGCCAGAACGAGGACACGGTCGCTCTCCCAGAAGGGGTAGACCTCAGCAGCGTCTTCTTCTCCGACAAGGGTGTAAGTCATAGGTCACATAGGCCAAACACGGCGTTGCGTTGGCAACGAAATAGATGGACAAGCCGCTAATCTGTACTCTCGCATCTAGGACCCTTGCATCTACGACTCGACTGGCGTTCTCCTGACGCTTCTTCATTGGAGGCGGCCCTCCCGGGCCTCGTGGGTGCCGCTTCTTGACACCAAGCTCCTAGATCGCCTGGCCTCGGGACGGAAGCACGAGAGCTACTATCCTATTGCCGTGGCAGATAACAAGTTTCACTGCATCATTCTCAAGGGCGGCGACAAGTACCCGTACTTCCCTCGTCCTCTGCTTTCCGAGTTTGAATTCTCCGTACCTCTTTCAGCTGCGGCGTCGAAGAAGAAGCGCGCCTCAAACGGCAAGGAAAGGGGAGAGGATGGGGACTCTGAGGGCGAGAACGCCGACGAGGATGACGACATGGACGAGGATCAGCGCGAGGCAGAGAACCTTACGCAGCAGCTTCTCATCACGGATATCCTGGCGCGGCAAATGCGCGATGTTTTGCACGACGTTAGGTCCGGCTCATCGCACTCGGAGCGCTCACTCTTGGCGAAGCTGGAGCTCGAGGTGGATAAGACGTTGCTCAAGATGCTGGCCATTGAGTGTCGCCAGCCCGATGATCGTGGCATGCGGGCGCTCGAGATGGTGGAACTCATGCGGGATACCACGGGCAGGATGGCGGAGGCCGCCGGCAAGGTTGCCGACCGATATGACAAGTCTATCCTGGCAGAGAAGATTCGAGAATTAGGAGAGAGGAGAGTCAATGGCATGGACGAGGACGAGGACTAAGGGCGAGGGCAAGGCCGAGGAAGAAGGGCCGCAACCGCTCGCCCTGGTTTGAGCGCACATCTGTCGATCTTGCGGCTCGTGATTCATCGGGGCAGAGGATGATCAGTGGGGAAAAATAAGGAGGAGGGGTTTGAGCCCTATCGAGGAGAAGGACCCTGGACTACGAGAGTTGAGGTCATTGGAAGACGCTCGTGGAGATCACGATGGGATGGCTATGCGTTTCAGGTCGACCATCCGCAGTGTTTCTAGAAATTGGATCAGGGACAGCAAGAACGAACGCAACGGCTGGTGGGGGTTTTTTTCCCTTTCTTCTTTGTCTTCTTTAATGCCATTTGTTTGTTTGGTATATCAAGGTAGTTTTTGGGAATCCCGGTCTTATGATGCTGCTACGGGCTTGATTACGGGTATTGATGGAGACATGAATGCAGACATGATTGAAGCAAGCAGATTTTCGGGCGTTTCTTGTTTTGGACCCCAATCTGACACCCTCTTTGAAGATGATGCACGAACAGCGATTGATGACAGCCGATGATGATACGTTGGACGAGCCAGACTTTTTCTAGACGGCCGTCACATCGAAAGGAGGTGCCATGCCACATGCGCGTCCTCCCCTTTCCAGAAGACGTCCGTGGTCAAACTCTCAAAAGGCCCTAGGAAGGGAGTTTTGCGGCGCACACCTCAAGACCTCTTTTCTTTTTTTTTTTCGTTTCTCGGGTTTCGGTTTCTTTTTTTTTTGCTCTTGTGAAGCCATACCGGATAGGTATCCAAGGTTTGCCAAGACGCCGGGCGATGGCGCGTCCTCCCGGATTACGACTTCCTTGGATGCTTGGCTCTTCGACGACGGAACCTGTTTACCGATCTCTCTCTCTGAGCACAAATCACATGCGCATCTGAGCCTTTTGAGTTGTTGAGAGTAATAGCTCGTTTTCTCACTCACTCGCACACGTACCCTAGGTCCTTTTCGTGGCTGGTCTTCCTTTCATCCTAGTTGCATCTGGCGAGAGCAGTAATGGCACATCTCTTGTAATTTTTTTCTTCTTTCGAACTTGTCAAAGAATGGCGCCTGCGTGGGCAAAGTTCCATTTTCGGGGTCTGGCAAACACTCGGGGCCTTGGCTCAGCAAGGAACGGAGCTTGGGGGTTACCCTCTCGAAACCGGGGCGTGCCAACCCGAGGGGTGTCCTTCTCTCACCGTCGATCTCTCTCTCACTTTTGTATGGCGATTCCAACATGTGAAATTGTAGGTGATAATTTGAACTTGGAGAGAGGGGACGTGTGCGTGGGGGATTCTTTTGTTGCCATCATCCAGACGCGCATGCTTCAACCCTCCCTCTTATTTTTATTTTATGTTTATTACTGGTAGTTTGCAAATATGGGTGCCTCTAGAAAGCCGAAATGGATTCGGGAGGACACCATGAAATTTCAATGTTCCATATTCGGAACTTACGGAAGATATGCAGACCCAGCGGTCCGTGGTTGGTGATGAAGCCCGTTTGATTTGTGTTGAGCACACACCCCCCTTTACTTTTCCCTTTTCTCCCTCATATTCTTCCTTTGTTCTTCTCGTGGTCTCCGATCTGGTCTCCGGCTTTCTTGGTTCAGAACGTTCTACCGATCGGCGGAGGTGGTCTGGAAGGTTTTGAAGGGGGCTATCCGAGAGCTAAGCAAACAGGGAGAGAAAGGGGGGAAGCAAGACATCCATCTATTGGATTGATAGGTCCTCCCGCCACGAAGCTTTTGGAGCGAGCCACACGCGAAAAGAAAAAGAGATGAAGTGAAATAAGGGGAGGGGGTTAGAGGCGTCGAACGAGGAGCCGAGTCGGGTGTGTCTTCTGACCTGGCCTCTTTGGCGAAATGCAAACTAAAATAAGACTTGCGAAAATATAAGGATAAAATATTACATACTTGGTACACTACATGGAGGCGAATCGGCACATGGAAAAGAGGGAGGTGTGGGGGAAGGGCAAGATGGAATGCAAGGGATGGGCTTCTTTTCCATCGGCAGCATGGATCAATTGTAGATGGATTGGATCTACGATGTCTCATTTGCTCGTCAATTTGTAGATTGCCTTGTCAGGGTTGGAACGAGGAGGGGGAAGGGCCATGGACATGTTGTTGACACGATTCATGAAGGGACTGCTCACTTTTCTTTTCTTCCCTCTTCTTCCTTCTTTCGTGGGTTTCGTGCATGAAGAAAAGGGAGTGCGCAATCAAACGGAACGATCCTCCTCGCATCATCAATTGGAGTCAGCTTGATCTTACTGGCTGACGACTTGGACGCGAGTAATTTGGTTCAACCCACAGCGTCGGGTTTCCAATCCAATCCAGTCCCCAAAAGAGAGAGATAATAGAAGAAAAGGGGGGAGGAAAAAAGGAAAAAGAAGAGCCTGCAAATGAAAAAGAAGAAAGAGATGAGACAAGCCAAAAAAGAGAGAGAAAAAGGAAGGAAACGCGCGTTGGTCTAGACTGAGGACGAGAAAGGGCTGAGCTGTTGCTTGTCTAGCCTTTGGTAATGTGCAACCATTGCTCGTTGCTCGTCGCGTCGTCCAACCTGTGCTGTCGTGGTTTCAATCTCCACCGACTACATGTAGTGCATCAGTTGTGTGCAAGTAGTTCCAAATGCTGTTTCCCGGCAGTCAGCCGTGTCTGGCGTCATATTAAGGCTATTCTGTGGATATGACTCTAATCCGCACATGCCGTGAGAGGGCGAATACCACACAAACCAGTCTCAATGCGTGCAGATACAGCGATGGGGGAATTCCAAGTCTGTTTTTGGTAGTGCGACCCGCGTGTCACCACTCCTGGGTTCGACTTGGGACGTGACTTCGGGCTCTTGCCTAAAGTGTGGATGGGTCGCGAGGTGAGAGGTGATGTAAAGATGAATATCCGCTTGGTTCAAGTGCTCGGAAAAGAAAGAGGAAGGAGTGAAAAGAGTCAAACTTCCAGCGAGGTCCAGTCGTGAGAGCGCACATGAGGGGATAGTCACGGTCTTCGCCGATCTGGGGGTCCAGTCCAGGTGACAGTAGAAGGCTACAGTGGATCAATTGTAAGTAGCAGGCGTCAATGGTGACGAACTCCACCGGGCGAGTTGTTGAGACTCCGGCTATTGCCTACAAACCAGTTGCCCTCAGGCAAAGGGGAGCTAGAAAACAGCTGCTCTCAGGCAAAGGGGAGAGGCCACCAAGTCCGCCCGGGCGTCTCTATCCTTCGTACCTCGGTCGCCCATGTATCAACGAAAATCATTGTTCTCTCTCTTTCCCCGGGTTGAAGATGGCGATCCTGCAGAGCCCCCACGCGTCGGTGGAAGGAGTCGTACATTAGGATTTCTTGGGGGCACATGTTGTTGCCCGACTCTTACACGGTTGGAGAAATCGCCGAGTCCCGATCAAGGAACGATGGCCGGGCGTGGAGTTCCGGGAGGCGGCATGCGTGGCACTAAAGCAACTTTTGGAAGGAAGCTCAGCGTATAGATTACTCATGACAAACCTACACGGGGGCGTTGCCACTGGGGATCAACGATCCAAATGGACCGTGTGGGAACCCCTTAGTAGAGGAACATCAATAGCTTCTATTCTCTTCGAAGGTCCAATGAATCTACACTGATAATTCACGCCCCAAAGGACTGAACTGAAGGAAGCGTAAAGTACTGGCACCTTCTACGGGGTGGAGCATATAGTACAATTTCAATCTAAGGAACGTGGGCGCAACTGACAGGACGGTCATCTCCTCGTACTTTGTAATTGATATCAGTACCGGGGTTCCTAGTTTAGTTGCCCTTGGACCTGCCTTCAATAAGGTTGACACTTTGTGGGCTAAGGTTCTTGGCGCGGGCGGAGAGGAGTCGAGAGAGTTCATCTCGTTCCGTGCCAGGTAGGAGGCACCTTCCGCGAGCGGCTTTCCGCGGGGATTTTTTTCCTTTTTCGCTTTCCCTTGCTCTTTCCCATGCTCGTTTGCAACGGCTTCTCTTCTGGCACTAGTAAATATGACAAAGTAGTACCAAAGAAGGAATCTGAACCCCGCCCCTCCCCTTTCTCAAGCCCCGTCTATCACCCCGTCGCTTCGTGGGGGATTTTGTCATGAATATCTCCGCCTTGGGCAAGGGAGCTTGGGCAAGGGAGTGTCGCGATGACAAGACGTCAAGTCTTTTGTTTGGTCAGCCTTGGCGGGCGAGATTTCCTTGGGGTATGAGTGGAGTGTCGTTGACCACTGTTCGCTGGCCCTGCTCGTAATCATACAAGGGTGGGCATCGAGTGATGATCCTCGGGCGAAGCTCGCCCGGAAGCTGGGGGCCGCCCCACGGCCCCAGTGGACGGAGCCAGCCTGACAACCTCACAAGAATTTGAGGCCTGGCTGGTTCATTCCGCGCCGAACCCCGGGCGCGATTTCAAGAGAGGGGCCTGACAGGCACACCGGCCAAGGGTTCTCGCAAACGCCCCCCTTCCCTCTCCTTCCCCCATGAGCGAGCGGCTGTTCCAAGAGATGCGAGCCCGGGAGGCAGAGAGCGTTGCACTGCTGCAACCTACCTCCGCTTCCAGGGCACCCTGACCTGGACGTCCGAGCCCACGGCCTGTGAATTTTGACACACAGCAACCCTCAACTCGACCCACCACCAACAGAACCGCAAAATCCCAGCTCTCCATGCCGTGCCCTGGACTCCCGGGGGACGTTGGCAAAGTATCCATATTTGTTGGCCGGCCTGGCCATTCTTTTCCAAACAATGTGCAAGTGTTCAGGCTAACCCCCAGCCCTGTTAACCCATGATCCAGGGGACCCTGGAGATTCCTCCCCTTCCAATCCTTCAGAAGATGCAAAATCGCAAGCTCTTCCTAAAGCAGTTTAACGTCCTGAACAGGGCCTCTATCCGCCGAAAACCTTGACATCCTTGGACCACCAGAGCTTGTCCCTGTTGCTTGGTCGTCTGGGGTTAGTTGTTGGATAGCGTTCCCTTCAGCGCTCAACTTGGGCCAATACCGACAGAGGTGGAGCGGATTGCATTGACCT